AAAAAAAAAAAAAAAAAAATGGAAATTAATGAATGAAATAATAATAAGTTTGATTATTATTAGAATTCTTTTAAAAAAAAAAAAATTTATTTAATTTTGTTGGGTGGGACACTAATAAAAATATATTTTTTTTTGGTCCTAAATGAAATAAATAAATAAATAAATAAATAAAAATAAATGACTAAAGTTATTGTTGTCAAAGTAATATATAAAAAAATTAAATTTTAAATTATTACACATGACTTAACTTCTTTTTTTTCTCTTTTTTTTTTTTTTTTTATTAAAAATAAAATAATTAATATTTTTTTTTATAAATTTAAATCGTCAACAATAAAAAGAGGAGGGAAAAAAATAATTTATTAAAAAATTTACACCCGAAAAATAATAATAATAATAATAATAAGTTTAAAAAAAAAAAATTTCCCGAAATGAAAATTCCCCGCGGATTAATTGTTAAATTTTTTTTTTTTTTTTTTATTAAAAAAATTTAAAAATTTGTTAATAATTTTTTTATTTATTTAAATAAAAAGTTTTTGTTATTAAAAATAAACCCCCGGGGGGGGGACCCCCCAAAAAGAAAAAAAAAAAAGGAAAAAAAATGAAAAACTCCCCTGATGAAAGGAAAACGTTCAACATGACACGCTAAAACCAAATGAACCTCTTTTCCAACTTTTCCTCCTTTTTCTACGCTTTTCCTTTAATCAGTTTTAACTCTCCATTTTTATATTTACCTTTCTTTCTCAATTTTAACAAATAACCTTTTTTTTTTTTTTTCTCTCTCTCTCTCTCGTTTTTTTTTTTTCCCCCTTTCATCTCTATTTAATTTTTTAACTCTTTCTATCTTCTTTTAACGTACAAAAAAAAAAAAAAAAAAAAAAAAAAGAATAGAAAATTAAAGGAAGAGGGGTAACCCTTTAGGGATCTTTTCATAACCTTTGTTTTTCCCCCCCCCCCCCCCCCCCCCCCATTTAAAATAATATGGTATTATTATTATTATTATTTTACTTAATGAAATTTTATAAAGTATCTATTTGAAAAAAAAATTTAAAAATACTTTTGCCAAAATGTTTTCAAACATTATTATTATTATTATTATATTTTGTAAAGAGTTTAATGTAAAAGAAAAACGTTTTTTTTTTCCAAGTAATAAACGTTACATAAAAATAAATATTCTTATGTAATGATAATAAAATGCGTTTTTTTTTTTTTTCATGCAAAAAAAAGCACTTTAAAATTTTAAATAATAATAAAAATAACTATTTTTTTTTTCTTTTCACTTTATTTTAGTTAAATCAAATTTATTTTTCTACAAAAAAAAAAAAAACCTCTTAAATTTTCTATTTTGTCGTCCAGGATTAAATAAATATTTTTTTTTTCTGGTGGGAAAATGAAATTCATAGTAAAAATATTTAATTACAATTTCCAAACTTTTTTTTTTTTTTTTTTTCAAACTCGGTGGTGGTTACACTTTTTTAATTTAAATCAATTTTTTTTTTATATATATTTCGCATTCTTTAGAAAAAAAAAAAAAAAATTGTTTTTCATTTATTTATTTATTATTTGTGTAAAAATTTTATTTTTTTTTTAAAATTGATAAAGTTATGTTTGTGTGGGTTAAATTTATTTATTTATTATTTAAAATTATGTAAGTAATTTAGTTTTTTTTTTTTTAAATGACAGTTAATATGATTGACCTAAATTAATAATAAACATAAAAAATTATTAAAATTTTAAATAATAAAATAATTTTTTTTTTTTTAAATTATTTAATTTAAAATCATTTATAAAAAAAAATTTAAAAAGAAGCAATTTAAAAAAACTAGATCATTTTTTTTAATGAGGATATGACCAATTTAATTTCAATTTTTTTTAAACTTTTATTTATTTATTTATTTATTTATTTACCCAAATAACAATTTATTTCTTTTTATAAATTAAATTATATATTTTCCCTAATACTTTTTTAATAATAATAAATTATTAACATTTTTTTTTTCATTGACCATGTGACAATAAAAGCGTAAAAAAATTATCAGGCTATTATAAGTTAATAAATAAATAATATAAAATGATATATATTTTTTTTAAAAATAAATTTTATTGAAATTAAGTAAACAATAAGTTAAAATGAAAAAAAAAAAAAAAAAAAAAATGAGCCCCTAATAAAAATAATTAGAAAATAAATAAATAAATAAAAAAACAATTTTTTTTAAAATAATATAAACTACAAAATTCTATTTGAAAGCCTTTTTTTATTATTATTATTATTAGTTAGCTTTTAACTAAAAACTTATAAATATTATAAAATATTATGAATTGTTAATTAGGTAACACCAAGTTGTGTAAATGCATATAATTAATAATAATACATATATATATAAAAAAAAAAAAATTTTTTTATGTATTTTTAAGGCTCGATAAAAAAAAGAGGTAAAGGCAGCTCACATAAAATGAAATATTTATATATATTTATATATTATGTATTATTTATATAATTTTTACCATGAGTAAAAAAATAAACTTCATTTTATTTTATTAAATGGCTAACATGGAGTAGTTTAAAAGTTAAGTGTGACGAAAAAAAAAAAAAAATGATGATGATGATAAAAATTTGGATTAAATAAAGGAACCTAAATGAAATTTACAATATAAGAATACTACCTGCACAAGGTAGCATCGATTTGTGTCAATGTGGGCAAAAACAATTTCAGTTTCCTTCTATAAGCTATGTCTTTGGCTACTGGATTGTATTCCAAATAAATTGTTTCTAAATTTTCAAGAACTTTTAGCTTCTCTATACAACTCCAATCTTCAATAGAATTGGAATTTAGCCAAAGTTCACGGAGACCTGATAAATGCAAAATGTTATCAATTAATTTGATTTTATTCGATGCTAAATCTAATGTGTTCAACATTGTGCAACCTCCTAGCCCTTCTATTGTATCAATCAAATTTTCAGACATGTAAAGCTCTTCTAAATTATGTAACATTTCCAATCCCTCAATTTTAGTCAAACGATTACTCATAACTCCGAGAATCTTTAAATTTGACAACGATTCCAAATTTTCAACTTTTGTTATTTTATTTTTACCTAAATGTAATTCGACTAAATTTGTTAGGTTATCCAAATTTTCTATTTTCCTGATTTTATTATCTCCCAATTCCAGGTGAGTCAATTTAACTAAAGATGATAAATTTTCAATTTGTTTTATTTTATTCGAAACTAAATATAATCGAACCAAATTTTTTAAAGCATCAAGACCTTGTATTTGTTTTATCCTGTTATAAGATAAATCCAAAACTCTAAAAACAAAATAAAATGATATTTTATAATTAACTTAACTACTATATTAAATATTTGAATTTAAATTAATTGCAAGCTGAAATTTTGTAATTAAGTATTAAAACGTACTCTAAATTGGTCAGAGCTTCCAAGTTTTCTATTTCCGTAATTTGATTATCGTATAATTCCAATTCGGTAAGTGTTGAAAGAGTTGATAAGTTTTCTATTTTTTTAATAAGATTCCAACGGAGACATAATTTTTTTAGTTTGGTAAGGGGTTCAAAATTTTGTATTTTTGCTATTCTGTGATGATTTAAATCCAATTCTTCGCTTTCTGGATCAATTACAACTGTTTCTTCATCATTAGGTTCTTGTGAAAGTATTTCATTGGGAGGACCCATTGTATGCGGTGATGTATCCACAATCATTTGTTCCTCTTGAACTAAACAATTTCCTTCCCCTGCTTCACTCATTTTATAAACTTTTCCTTACGTAAATAATTACAAAGTAAAATAACGGAAAAAAACTGTTTTTTTTTCTCCTTTTTTTGTGTATTTTAAAAATTTTAATACGATACTTTGAATTATTTTTAATATTTTGTCGTAATTTTTCAATTTGCGACACAATTTTGTCGTTCATATGTAGACACATGTTGGTAATCGGTGTTTTACATAATTAAAATAACAAATATTTTTATATGATAATCTAAAAAATGTTAATTAGGTAGTAAATTATATTTTAATTACACATTCAAAAATATTTCTTAATTAAGCTTCAAAGATTATCTTTTTTTTTTTTCGTGCCTTTATTTTCAATTCTTTGTTCAACAAATTCAAGAGGCTGACATATCGATCTGCCCAAAGTACATCGGTATTTTTTTCAATTTTTTTTTTTTTTTTTTAAAGTGGCGCTTATATGTATATATATATATTTTTAAAAGATTCTTTTTATCTATTTTTGACGTTTCTTAAAATTATTTATTCAGTTTCAGTTATTCTAATTTTATAAATCAAGACCTTTATTGTCATTATTTTTATTGAAATGTTAATTTATCATTTGTTATACCGGTTATTTTTCAAATGCGAAAATTCATATATATGGTTTATCAAAAAATAATAATAATAACAAAAGAAATGCCCTGATAATTTAAAGGTTCTTAATTAGCATTTATCTAATTATAAATCACTAACTTATTGATCCCTACATGTTTAAATAGACTAAACATAATTAAATTACTGGTCTTAAAAAATGTACCAGTTATTGCATTTATTACCAACCAAATTTAAATTTTTTCTTACACTAGTCCTCATTAATTTTTCAGCAGATATTCAAGATGGTTAAATATTACAAATTTTTTGTATTAGTTCTCCTTGTTTCCGAGTATAAGTTGCTGTGATGGTTGCAATATGATAGAAGTGTTATTAAAATAAAACTTTAAAAACTGATCACATAAAATTGTTGATAATATTAGTCAGTATGAATGCCTCAACCCAACAGTCACCAGGAGTTGATTTCAAGAGAACCCACAATGATTCTACTAGTTCATCACATGATTTAAGTAATAAAACGACTCCAGTTAACAGAACTCCAGGTTAGTATTATTATTAAATAAAAATTGTATTTAAAAGTTTTATTCTTTGTAGTAAACAGAAATCTTTTCAGAGAAAAAACCTCAAAGAAGGAGTTTACAATTTTTTTTGCCCAAATTACCTTCTAGCGAATCTATAAATATGGCTTCAAACACTCCTTGTAAGTTACCACAAACTTTTCAATTATCATCAATTAAATAAAGTATTGTAAATTTAATTATGTGAGATTGTAAATTTACAATGCTAAATGTTAAATAAGGACCTGTTATTAATTAATTAAACAATTTTTTTTTTTTTCAGCACCTAACATATTAACCCCGAATAGTGCTTTGGAATCGGTCAAAATGTCAGATTCTATATTAAACACAGATAAGGTATTTATTTATAAGATAAAAGTAAATTATTAATATTAAAATTTTATTTAATGTGTGAATAACTGAAATATTTTGCAGTCGCCACATCTGTCCGCTTCAAAGTTAGCTAGAAAAGAATCATACAAAGCCCAAAGAAAAAATTACAGGCAGGAAAAAAAACGAGTTGCTGACGAATTGCTTAATTCTCTTAAAGATCCATCTGTAATAGTTCTTGCAGACTGGTTAAAAGTGAGAGGAACCTTAAAGAGTTGGACAAAATTATGGTGCATTCTTAAACCTGGTCTTTTACTTCTTTACAAAAGTCCTAAAATTAAGGTATTTAGATGATTTCGAGTGAGACTAGTTTTTATGTTTCCCTAATTCTAAAAAAATTAACATCATCTTACAGAGTAATCATTGGGTTGGAACCGTCGTGTTAAATGCATGTTCAATAATTGAAAGGCCGTCCAAAAAAGATGGATTTTGTTTTAAATTATTTCATCCCATGGAACAGTCTATTTGGGCTCCAAGAGGGCCAGAAAAAGAAACCATTGGTAAATCTTTGATAAATTCTTTATGTTTTTTTTTTTTTTTTTTTTTTCGTACATTTATATAAGAATGAATTTTTTTAGGTGCCGTTGTGCAGCCATTACCAACATCGTACTTAATTTTTAGAGCTCCTTCTCAGCAAGCGGGTAAATGTTGGTTGGATGCCCTGGAGCTTTCGGTGCGATGTTCCACTTTGTTGGTTCGATCCTTTAGTCGACCAAGTCACGTCCAAACTTCTGATAACGATTTAACCGCCAATCATGACACTCAGTGGAGTGAAGCTGATTTTGAAAAGCATTTTGTTGATCACGGTGAGCAAAGTTTTTTTATTTTTTTTATTTTTCCAGTCATTTACGAAGTAATAAATGATTGATATTCATATTTAATACTTTTAAGATTCCGATGCTGGAGGTGGAGATCGAAATAGCGGAACCGAACAAATGTCCGTTTCAGAATCCGATTCTGAAGTATCAGCAAAGTTTGAAGAACAAACGGACTTACCGGAACACGAAGACCCACCGGAAACCGAGTATATTCAAAAAGAAGAAGGAGACGTTGCTTGTTCGGTAAGTATCTGGTTTTAAAAATACGACTCATCATCAAAATAAATTAATTTTCTATCATTCATTTTTATCAATAGCAAGGAGAACAAGTGGAAGAGCTAGCGGAAGAAAATAAATCGTTAATATGGTTTCTCGTGAAACAAGTTCGACCCGGAATGGATCTGTCCAAAGTCGTTTTACCAACATTTATTCTAGAACCTCGGTCGTTTTTAGACAAACTAGCCGATTCGTATTACCATGCCGACATTTTATCAAAGTGAGCAAGACAAAAAAGTTATCGACAAAAAAATAATTTGATGAAAATCCTATGAAATGTATTGAAAATTTATTAAATTCCATTTTTTTAATCGTAGGGCAGTCCTGGAAGACGACGCATTTACCAGAATGAAAATAGTTGTTCAGTGGTACTTATCTGGATTTTACAAAAAATCAAAAGGATTGAAAAAACCTTATAATCCCATATTGGGAGAAAGTTTCAGATGTTTTTGGAAACATCCCAACGGATCTCGTACTTTTTACATTGCCGAACAGGTATTTATTTGTTTAAATCTGTTTAAAAAAAAAAAAAAAAGTGTCTGTACTACCTCTATAACTCATTGGGAATTTTCGTAATTAGGTATCTCATCATCCTCCGGTTTCTGCTTTCTACGTAACCAACAGACAAGACGGATTTAGTATTAGCGGTTCTATATTAGCAAAATCTAAATTTTACGGTAGGTATCGTTGGACTGGACTCATTTACACTCCGCGATTGTGTTTTACTTATTCATGTCATTGATTTTAGGTAATTCGACTTCGGCAATACTGGACGGGGTAGCCATTTTAACCCTTTTGCCAAGAGGAGAAGAATACTCTATAACGGTTCCATATGCTCTTTGTAAAGGAATTTTAGTCGGGACTCTGAGTATGGAATTGGGTGGGAAAATTTCAATAGAATGTGAAAAAACGGGATATAAAACAGAATTAGAATTTAAGTTGAAGGTATTTTTAAGTTTTAAGTTTTAGGTTTTTTTAATTATAAAAATTTTCTGTCAAAACCTTAATCCTTTTTTTTTTTTTTTTTTACTTTTTGCAGCCCTTAATTGGAGGTTCGGATCAAATAAATGGCATATCCGGAAAGTTGAAGCTGGGTAAAGAAACATTAGCGACCATCGACGGTTATTGGGATGGTTTGACTAATATTAAGGATAAAAGAACAGGAGTAAGGGAGTTTTTCAAATACTATTTTAAATTATCGACGGTTCAAAACAAAATAATTTTTTTTTTTTTTGTAAAGGAAGAACAGGTTTTATGGCATCCGACACCAACCATCCGGTCTACAAGACTAAAAAGATTTACAGTTCCTTTGAATAGTCAAGAAAGTTACGAATCGGAAAAATTGTGGGAAAAAGTTTCGGCTGCCATTTTGTCGGACGATCAGGTATTTGAGAGAAAAAAAAAAAAAATTGATTGGTTTTTTTTGGTATATATATTGACTACGAAATCATTTTTTTTTTTTTAACAGGTAGCCGCAACCGAAGAAAAAACCGCGCTGGAGAACGCTCAAAGAAATTCGGCCAAATCGAGAAAAGAATCCGGAACGGAATGGATCCCTAAATATTTCGAACAGGTGAATTTTTTTTTTTTTTTTCGGCATCGCCATCAAGTTTTACTTTTCAAGAGAGGAATTATAAAAAAAATTTTCCTTTTTAAATAAATGAATTAGAATTTAATTAGCGGCGCTTGGGTTTACAAACATTGCGATTTAAGGCCCTGGGATCCCCGTAACGATCTCATACAGTACGAATATAATTACATAATATTAACGAAAACGAGACATCGAACTCCGATGATTCGAACTTCCAGCATAGTCAGCGTGGAACCGTCTTCCGTGAGTCGATTAAAAATGTTTTTATTAGGGGTAAAGAGCACATATATATTATTATTATTATTATTTTGCATTTTCCAGGTGCAACCTCTTCTTCAAACAGAATCCCGGTCTTCGTTGTCCGTGTTAAAATCATCCAAGAGGAGAATAACGAGCAAAGCGAAAAGGCAAGAAAGTGTGAGTTCGTCGCAAGATGGAGAACTTCATAGCGATTCGAGTCAGTGGGGTAACAACACGACAAACACGACAAGGCATAATAAAATCGATGACAGGTACGTACGTCGGTTATTATTATTATTATTATCGGTAAAGGTTCGAAATGATAATAATAATAATAATAATAATAATAATAATTATGAATTATTTTAGGATAATGGATAAAATGAAAGGACTCGAACAAGTATTGAAAATGAACAGCGATAAATTAATGAAAATACAACAAAATATGGAAACGCTGGGGAAAATGCAAAGGGAAAGAGATAGAAAATTATTAAATCGTCCCCCCAGTTTATTCAACATGGAAATTTTATGGGCTTTGGCTCTAATATCCGCATTTCAACTCGTCGCCATGTGGTTTTTACTTAAAAAAGGATGAAAGGACTTTAAATAATTTCGATATCAAACGAATCAATATCAATCAATCAATCAATGAAGGAAAAAAAGAAAATTTGAAATGATTGGGGAGGGGAAGGGGGGGAGGGAGGAATTTGTTATTAATTACGTTGTTTGCGAATACGTTTAATTAAAAAATTTGAATTTTTTAATTATTTTTTTTTTTTCTCGGTTTTTTTTTTTAATTTAATTTATGAGGGATGGATGGAGAAAAAAAAATTAAATTTATTAAACGAGGATATTATTATTATTATTATTATTATTTCGGCAACGAGTAATTTAAAAAAGAAAACAAGTTGAAAAATTCTGTAATAATTTTTTTTTTTTTTTTCCTCGGTTAAAATTAAAAAAGAAAATTGTGTCTTCTTCTTCTTCGTTTTTTTTGTTTTTTTTTTGAAAAGGAAAAGGAAAAATTAAATCGATTTGTTGTTGTTTTTGTTGTTGCTGTTGTTGTTGTTGCTGTGTAATCAATGAATGGCGCGTACAAACGATGGTAAAAAAATTTCTTCCAAGTGTTTAATTTTATATTTACACACACACACACACACACACGGATATGCATCCTTTAAAAAATATTTAACACACTTATTTCTCAATATTATTATTATTATTATTATTATTATTTAAATTTTTAAAAGAATTTTAAATTTTATTAAATGCACGAGGGGAGAAAAAAGAAAAAAAAAAAAAAAATTTATTTGAAAATTATTTTTAATCGGTAACTAGTCAAAGGAAAAATTATTATTATTATTTTTTTTGGGTAGTCGATAAAGATTAAAAAAAAATTTTTTTTTTTTCTAAGATGATAATCATTAATGATAATTATTATTACTATTATTATAATTATTATTAGTCGCGAATAAAAATGTACATAATAAATAATTTATTATTTTTTGTCATTATTTGTGGGGTTTTTTTTATTTTATTTTATTTGTTTTGTTAAAAAATTAATTTGAATGTTTTTTTTTACCTTTCATCACGAGTTTATTATTATTATTACTATTATTATTATTTCATTGTTAAACGCGATAAGATGATTTTATGTACTTGTCGTAGTATTATTATTATTATCATTTCTTTTTTTTTTTTTGTGTGTGTATTGGTTTTAATTGGAAAAGCGTAATGGGGGTGGGGTGGTAGTGGTCGGTAATGATTTATTATTATTATTCGTATCCATTCGTCATTTTTTATAAATTGTTAATAATAATAATAATAATAATAATAATAATAATAATAATAATAATAATAATAATAATAATAATAAATAATGATAGCGTTATCAAAATCGAATATAAATAAATAAAAATGAATTTTTATCAAAGGTTGGAAAAAAATAAAAATTTAAAAAAAAATATATATATTTAAAACACGACCGCTAGTCTTAATAATAATAATAATAATAATAATAATAATAATAATAATAATAATAATAATGATAATAACACTAGTCGTCTATAAAAATAAAAAATAAAAAATTTTTTGAAATAATTATATATATATATGAAATATATAATTAGATAAAAATTACGATAAATTACCATTTGAATAATATTTTATTAAAAAAAAAATTTTTTTTCTTATATAATGATAATAATTATTATTATTATCATCATATATTCTTCCTAAAATTATTTATTTATTTATTTAAGAACAATTCTTTGCTTCCATTATGATTTAAAAAAAAAAAAAAAAAAGTTTTCTTATTGTATTATTAAAATTCATTCCATATAAATTGTTTGTTAATTATTATTCATTCCTTTTAAATTATTATTATTATTATTATTATTATTATTATTATTATTATTATTATTATTATTATTATTATTATTATTATTTAATCGTTTTTAATTCTTTTTTTTTGTTTTATTCCCGGTTTTTTTTTTAAATTGTAAATTTCCTTCCGAATTTTTTGTGATAAAAATTTTTTTTTTTTTTAATGTAAAAATATATATATATAAATATAAATTGAATGAATGAATGAATGAATGATTGATTGAATGATTGATTGAAAAAAATTTTGAATATTATATTAAAAATTTATTGTATTGATATATATATATATAATATCTTTTATCCGTTTTTTTTTTTTTTTTTGCTTTATAATATATATATATTAATAAAAAATTGTTTTCTTGTTCGATTTGGTTGTTGTTTGTTTTCCTTTAATCAGAATTTTAAACGGAATAAAATTGTGTTGCAGCCGATGATTGTAATTCAATTTGTCCCATTTTAAATTGAAGTCTTTGTAACCATTTTGCTAGTAAAGTATTACTCGGAGGATTGTTGGGAGCAAAATTTCTACAATTTTGTAATCTCATTTGTAAATGACCTGGCAACTGATAAGAAAAAAAAATTTATTATTATTATTATCTCGTACCTTAAAACGGTATGATTCTTTTTATTTTTAGGGGATACCTGAACGTGATGTGCGAATAAAACGGGACTCCACAACGGCATTAATTTTCCTAAAATGGAAGCGTTCACTTCTAATAATGCTTCTAATAAACTTAAAAAATGTAAATTTACCATTTCCGCAAGCTGAAAAATTAATTACTCTTAATAATAATAATAATAATAATAATAATTATTATTATTATTATGTATGATGACGTAAAATTTCCTTACGACTTTTGAATGTGCAACCAATTGTAAAACGCAGGGAGTGACTTTTCCCCAAAAATCTAAAAGTATATTGTTGTGTACAGTGTGTGGTTCTGATCCAGGAGGATTACTATTTGCTCCCGTTTCTATGTAAACCGTCCAAAGCTAATAAAAAAAAAATAATTTTTTTTTAAAAAAGAAAATAATAATAATAATAATAATTATTATTATTATTTATGGTAAAATACCTGGCATAAAATAAATGCGTGAAATAATGATGACATGTGTAAAACGGAAGCTTTCGATTGGCCGGCAAAACCGGTAAATATAACTTGTATGTGATCTGCAACGTGACAGGATGCTTCCGGTGGAACGGGAATGCACGGGGAATGACCTGTTAGACTTTGAAAAAGTCCACCCAAAAGAAGCCACGAAAGAAGACGAACGTGACCCATACATTCTAAAAATTCTCTGGGACTGAAAAAAAAAATTACGAGGTGAGTGAGTGTTACGTATTAATTGAGAGAGGGGGAGGGAGGGGGTAGGGGAGAGGGAAGGGGGAATTACCCCTGTTGTAGCGTAGTCGGTGCGTTGTAGAGCCAAGGTAAATGTCTAGCGATTGCACGATTATCCCTTGTACCTCTTGCCATTTCTAAAGCCACGTATTGTGCCATCCCCGATTTCAAAGCTCCTCCCAACGTATCCTCGTTTAAACCTCCAGAATCACCTTGACAAAAACTCTGAAAGAATAATATAAATTTAAAGAGGACTATAATAATCTCCAACGGTAAAATTTTCGTCCGGAATATAATAACCTTAATTTTGCTGACGGTGTGAAAATCGGCAAGAAAATCCAAGGCATCGGATAAATGCTGTCGCATTATTTCAGCCGCATTTACTCCCGTTGCAAATATATCACATGCTCCCGGTGAAAATCCATTTTGTACCAAACAACTTCCGGTGTCCTTGATTAATGACGTCATCAGTATTTATCACGTGGGAATATTATTATTTTTTTTTTTCAAAAAAATTTAATAACTCACCTGTATTACGAAATTGATAAGCATTAAAAAATTAGAATCGGGTAATGTTGTTTTAAATTTAAGTGCTTGAACTAATTCGATGATCAACATTCTTGTCAACATTTGTTTTTCTCTGTCACGCGTAAATGCTCTGTTGCATAATTGACATATTTCCGTTATTGTACTTAAATCAACGACGACATTTTGTATGACGAAACTCAAAATTTTCGAAAACGGTTCTAAAATGCTCTGAAATCATTTTTTCATTATGATTAAAACTCGTTAATGGCGCCTTTTTTTTAGTCAAGGTGCACTCACTTTGCAAGAAGAAATTCCTGGACATCTAAATACTGATGCCATTACGGCCAATGGAGCAAGTACGTTATCAATGGACGGGAGTAGTAGAACAATCCGACGAAAAAAAAGTTCCATTTGAGCCAACAAAGTTAACCAAGGACTTCCCGGTTGTACGGGTCCAACCTCCAAAGGCAAATTTTCTATATATGCTGACATGTTTTTACATATCACGATAACCGTGTCAGGCACTAAGGTTTTTTTAGCGTTCAACGTCTGAATAAACAAAATAATAATAATAATAATAATTTTAAGAGTTTAAAATGAGATTATAAAAAAAAAGTAAACCTACCTCCAGAAGCAATTGTAAGGGAACACTCGGTGATAATTCATTAAAATCTATTAAGGCTTGAGCAACGCTACGAAAAAATTCCGTTCTAGCCGATTCTGTAAAAAAAAAAAATAAAAAAAAATTTTTTTTTTTTTTTTTACCATTTTAAAATAAAATAATGTTTGTTTTAAATTTTCAAATTTAAAAAATTATTAACCTTCGACATGAGTTTGAAACATTTGATAAAAAACTCCATTTGGAGCCAATTGATGTAAAATACAGCGAAGAAATTGATGTGCAACAGCAACAGCTCCACCTGGCAAATAAGTACCTCCTTCCGTTTGCCACGAATATCCAGCTTTCAATGCTAATCTAAAAATCAATTCATTTACAATCAATCATAAAGACAAAAAGCAAAAAAAAAAAAAAAAAATATCAAAACAAAAAGAAGCCATTTAAAATTACGTTAAAAACATTTTTTTTTTTTTTTAAAGTAATTGGGATGAATCTGATTGATTTGTATCCGTTTGACTTATGTTTTCTGGTACTTCCTCATTATTATTTTCTTCTTCTTCATCTTCTTCTTCATCTTCTTCCTCTACTTCTTCTACTTCCTCTTCTTCCCTTTCTTCTTCATCTTTTCTTTCTACCTCTTCGTATTCATTATAATTTTCATCTCTATCATCTTTGAATGCGACTTTCTTTCTATATTCTTCTCTTTTAAAAATACTTTCAGAATTGGAAGCGTTAAATCTATCCATTCGTTTATGTCTTAGGTATAATGGAAAATCTAAAACGTTCCTTCTCGTCATTCCTTCTTCGAAAACCTTTTCCCATTTTAACCTTTTATTAAATTGATTATCTCTTACAATTTTCGTTTGAATTGGTAAAAGCGAATCGTATTGATCCATGAGTTCGCTTTGATGCGACATTAATTCCGTTTCAAATTCATCAATACGAGATAAACCCTCGTCTTTTTTTTCTATAACTTCCGGAAATAACATGACTACGGTTTTATCAAATATTTTTTGCTGTTGTTTTATTTTTTCCCTCTGTTTTCTCCTTTTACCCTTTTCCATTTTTTTCATCATTATAATGGGTTGTTGCTTTGCGATCAAATCGCTTTTATTTAAATGTTTTTTTTCCATGAGTACTCGTTGCATTTGTTTTTCCCTTTCGTTTTTTATACGTTCTAAAAATCTATCGGAAAGTGAATTTCCATGACGGCCCTTAGCTAATTTCTTAGCTTCTTCTTCTTCCAATTTGGCACGATGCAAAGCCTCTTGCTCCGCTTCTAATTCTGCTTCCTTACGAATCCTTTCCGCTTCTTGTTCTTTTATTTTCATTTTTTCTAATTCTTCCGCGTTTGTCTTCAAGAAACTTTCGTTCCAAACGTAATACGTTTTTCTTATATACACTTCTCTGAAAATTAAATCTTCGAGCGTGCGTAATTCATTTACAAGAGGAACTTGTAATTCCTTTGGAAAATATAAAAGTCTAAAAGACTTATTATAATCGCCGACGCCCAAAAGCGATTTACTATCGAGTAAGGGTAGAGTGTGATCAGCTATCGATGTAAGAACTTTACCGGAAATACTTTGTACGAAAACCGGACTGTCACTACTTCTGGCAAGATCCCATACTTCTATTGAACCGTCAGCACGACCTATATGAAACACGCAAGGGCGGTATGGAGACCATGATCCGCAGGTAACGGCGACCTCGGTAAATTTCAAAAATAACGGATGATTTTTCAATTCTTCTACCCATAATGCTATGACTTTTCCTCCCACCGTGAGAACCAAGTTATCAATAAAGGGAGAGCGTGTGCACGTTGTCACAGGTCCGTCGTGCACGGATTCACAAAAACTTAAAGTGGCACCTTCTTCCGTAGTGATTTCTTCCCCCTTGTGAAAATCAAATCCTTCCCATCTTAAAGTTAAAAAGTCACCTTCATCATTTACCAATTCTACAACTTTCCTTGGTTCCTCTTTCGGAATTTGTAATACGGGGTTAAAAATTCTTCGATGAGTCACATCGCTTCGAGTAGATCCATCTTTAAAGCTTGGGTCGCTAAACATTCCTTTTTTTAACCCAAATTCTTGAGTAGACACTTCACTTTCCACACGTGCAATTTTATTTAAATCACTATTTTTCATTTCATTTTGTTCACTTTTTGTTACGCCTTCTAAATCATGTATGCTCAGTGACTCGGAAGATACTGAATTTTCTTCTGCTGATACCTTCCTTGGATCGATTTTTTTGTTATCTTCCCATTTGTCTACAGGTAAAAGAATATGCGAAGAACTCAATTGATAAGAAATTTTATGGGTATGAACGGACAACGCGGTTAATTTTGTCGATACTTTTCCGGTAGGAAGTTTAGGGTAAAGCATGTAAATAGGCTGAAACTTTCGATCGAAAACTTTATAAATGCTTATTTGAGCTGTAAGTGCCGAAGGACGTTTTCGAACTTTCCGTCTTTTAGGCCTTCCATCATCCGTTTCATTTGGTATTACGTTTAAATCCCATACCCTAAGAACTCCATCTTCTCCGCAACTGATCAATTGCATCGAAAACTTTCCGTCTTCCTCCTAAAATTTTTTTAATTTTACAAGTATTATTTTATTTAAAAAAAAAAAGTTTTCGTGAGCATTTTTCGAAATAAAAACTTTTACCGGAACTTTATGATAATGTCCATTTTTTGTCCACTCAAAGTAAGGAGAAAGCCATTGAAGATGTGTAACTTTACCAATGTGGGAAAACTTTATCTTAGATAAAGCTGCTGGACGAACATATTGTACCGGAGGCTGAGGTTGTAGCCATTTAACAAGATTTTGTATTACCAAACGATATTTTTGTTGCTCGGGATTTAAGTATTCTTCCTTTTCGACTGCTTCTAACTTTCCTTTAAGATCCCATATTATAATTTGGCCGCTTGAACATCCACCAACCAATAAGTTAGGATTTACGGGTGACCAAGCAAGGCAATGTACTTCTCTAGGGCTTTCTAAAACAAGCCGAGGATTTAAGGCGTCTACGAAACTCCACAACAAAACGTGATTTTTAGAAAAAACTTCTCTGTACACTTCATCGCCAGGGAGTTCAATGTCCGATGCTGTAGCGCAACGTACAGCAAAAGTGTACGATAAAGCTACAATTCCACTCCACATGGGATGCCATGCTATGGATGATATTAAACGACTTTTACAATGATTCACATCGGTGTAAGCTTCGTATTCCTCGAAATCATTTTTATGAGGAATATCTTTATCAGTGGGTTTTAACACCAACAATGGGTAATCGTTAACGTACAGATCAAAATTTTGGTTATAATGTAATGCTTTTTCCATATAGTCTAGTTCGGCAAAATTATGATCGGGGCTTAGTTCTTTTGATTGACAAGTAGCTAAAATTTCTTTCGCCGTTTTCATGTCGTATAAATATTGTGTCCAAGCATTTGTGGGAAGGCCAGGATCTGTCTGAGCAGTATTATGATTGACTGCAGGTACTGCTTGCGTAGAGACATCAACTAACATTTTTTTGATGCCTTGAAATTCGTGTCTTCCAGGTCCAATTCGTACATACCCATCCCTAACATCTTCTACATTTCTATCTTTAAAGCTTACAGGTTTAAGCAACTCATCTATATCCGTCTCTAATTCAAGGCTTATAAGCGGTCTTGAATTTAAAGTTCGAGCACTATCAACTTCTAATTCACTACCGTGTGAAATCCAAGGTAAAATTTTTTTATGTATGGAATTTCTAATTTTTTCTTCGACTTCGAGCCTTTCCTTTTCTAACATTGCTAAAATATATTGTTTTGCTTCTGTAGTAACAGCAATATAAAAACGATGTAAATCTTCATCTTCATAAGGCATGTATTTCGAATCGTAACCGACTAAAATGGTATTGTCATTGTACTCGGCTAAATCATCTTTGACAGGTAAAAAATCAGAACTTTCGTGATGAAGATATAAATTTTCATCTACTACCACTTTGTTAATTGTAATCCACGGGGATTCAGCTGTAACTTGTTCTCCGACAATACAACCCATAATTTTTTGAGTTAAGCTACTAAGTTTAACATTTTTCAAACCATTTATTTTGAGAGAAGGTTCAGGTTGTAATGGTTTAATAGCACCCACTAAAGGTCTGTCAATCAATTCTTCTTTCTTTTTTTTATCTTTTTTTCCGGTTTTCTTTTTTTTCTTTTTTTCATCCTCCACTTCGATTTCAAATTCTTCAATCTCTTCTTCAAGGTCAAATCTCGAAACAACCGTGTCGACTTGCTCCATTTTAATTTAAATTTTTTTTAATTAATATCAAATAAAACTTTACGTCAAATATGGTTTACAAACAAAGAAAACAGGTCGTCAGGGCAACGACATAATTGTTTATTTCCGTGTTCAAGAAAAAAAAAAAAAAAAAACATTCATAAATTGATCTCGAGGATTTTACTTACTTGGCAACGGTTGATAAAATTTTTGGAAGCAAGGGAGCGGCTAATCCTGGTTCCCGATGAATAAAAGTCCCTAAAATAACAATACATAATCCCAGTTCTTCGTCGCTGTATTCTTCTCTCGGTGCTCCACATTCTGCACATCTTTGTAAAACGCAATCGTCTCCAATTCGAAAAGAACTTTGTCTTAAATTAAGTGCAGCGTGACAAGCCTGTTGGGTTGCAGGATCAAGAAGAGGTTGTTGATTTCCACACCTAAAAGAAAGGACAATAAATTTTGTTGTTCTCAATTAACTAATCTTTTCGGCATTTAAATTTCGTTCAACGTCTTAAGCAAAGTATTTTTACCAAGAACCAGGTCTTCTGGGAAGATGAGTTCTCGGAACTGTTTCCATTGAAAACAAACCAACTTTTCGTCTTCTTTTTCCAGCAACTTTTTCATTTTTTTTCCTGTTACTTTCGTCAGATTTTTCTTTTCCTTGAAGAAAAAAAAAAAAAAAACCATAATAAAACTTATTATTTATCACCTAAAAAAAAAAACCTCCTGAAAACTAACCAAAAGTATGTTTCTTATCAGAATGAACTCCGCGATAAAAACTGTGAGGTTCATCTTCAGGAGGTGATTCTGCTAATGCCACTTGTTTAATTAGGCGCCTAGGACTTGACGAACGTCCTCGACGAAATTCAGGCTTTTCCAAACTTCCTTGCTTTGAACCTCTTTCACTTTTTACTTGTTGACCTTCACCTTTTTTTTTCTTTTCCGTTGAAATTTGATCTTGAGGTAAATCTGTTATTTATTTCTAATAAATAAAACATTCAGTAAAACTTTAAATAAAATATTTTTGTTATTCTTACTTAAGCAACATCCATTGGCTAGAGATTTATGTAGTTTATCGGTTATTGCGTTGATATCTTGAGAAGGTCCAACAGGTAAAAGACGCTCCAATGGAGGCATTTCTAATTGGGTTACTTTATTAATGCAATTTTCTTTTGTACATATATTATCTACGTCAACCGGAGACCCTAATAATTTTTTAATTACAATTATAAGTTCAATCGCATAAAATTGAAAGTAATGGAAATTGAATGAAATAAAAATAAAAAAAACCTAATGTGATTATGTCCATTTTTGATAAAGGAGATTCTGGTGATCCATAAGAATGAGTATCGAAATCTATTATTCGACTTAAATTATCGTTAGAACTTTTTTTTTCCGTTGAACAGGTGAGAGCGTTTTCGATTCGCCAGGGTGCAGTAACCGGTTTTGGAGACGAAACGGTAAGCTCAGGAGAATGATTGGTAGTAGATATTGATGTCGATTCTAAACTTGTTGAATAACCGAGTTTTCCTCGGGTGTTTTCCGAAATTCGACATTTTTCGGTCCGCGAGATTTGAGGGCTAAAACAAAAAAAAAAAATTTTTTGTTAAAATTGCACCGGGAATTATTACATAAAAAAAATCCGTAAAAATATTATCTACCATATTACACATGTATCTTTTTTTAAAGGACAAAAATGACCAATTTTGACATACCTTTCTACTTTGTAAGTTGGTGGAGGAGAACAAATTGAAAGCGGTGAAGTGGATGCAGTACTTTTTCCACTAGAAGCTTGTTTAGGAACTGCTAAAAGTATTTATAAATTTTACTTATTGTAAATATCACAATATCATTCAATATGTCTTAATAGCTGATAAATTAATTTCGACTCTTTTCATTCAAAGTAGAATCAAAGCATTGTTCGTATTTTTAAAAAAAAAAAAAAAAAAACAAGACAATTTTTAAACTAATTTTTTAGTTAATAATTCTACAGCATTTTAGAACTTTCGAGAACTTTTAAGAACAAAAAATTTTTTATCGAGTTTTAGTGCGTGAAAAGATTAAATCATTTCATTTAACAAAATTTAAATAAAGACTACTAAAGAAATGAGCTCAATATATATGAAGAGAAATTGCTTGCTAAAATTCATATAAGCATTTATATATATTAAGTAAAATTAAACCAACCGGAAACGACTGTAGCAGTTGCAACTACCGGTTGCATAGCTGTAGCTACCGCACATGCAAGACTAGATCTTCTTTCATTACAATTGGCTGCCATTAACGGCCTCGATGGTGTCGGTTTGGGTTGTGGAGCAGTACCGTTGTAAAAATTTGTCGTCTTCGAAGTTACAGGTTGGGATGATGTAAAAAAAGAAGAAGCTACCATCATCATAACACCTTGCTTTATGCCGCATTTTCTTCCACTATCATCCGTATTCTTATAAAAAAAAAAAAAAAAAATTTGATTTATAACTTTTTAAAGTTTTATTGTGGATAAAAAGAATTTTTTTGGCTTCGTTAATATAAAACTTACCTTATCGTGTAAAGATGATTTTCGTCCTGCGTCATCATTATCTAAATAAGGTTTATCAGAGCCTTCTATATCATTTTCAGCCTTATGTTCTTCTAATTCACTGCTATATAATAAAGATAAATTAAAATTATTAAAAATGACCTGTTAAAAATATTTTCCAATTAATTTTTAAAAAAAAAATTTTTACCAGGTGTAATTCATTTTATCTTCTGATTCTTCCCAGTGCGTTGTTTGACCAGTCGGAGACTTTTGTGAAAAATTCTTTTGCTTACCATTTATTGAACATTTAGGTGATACGGGAGGGCTATCATGTTTGTCCATCGTATTATTTCCATCTTCTTTATCGCCTCCGAGGGAAGGTTGACTGGCCTCTAAAATATTTGGCAATTTTAATGTATAGGAACTTTGTAAATTTATAAAATAATAATATAATATTTCACAACAGACCTCTTGAACGAGATTGAGTGCTACTAATAATGACGGACGATGGCACTCTCTTACAAACGTGATGCTGAGCACAAATTGTATTCAGCACAATCCTAATAAGTGAAGTTAGTTGAGTAGCTTGAGGCTGTTGACTGTAGTTATACTAAAATAAAAGTTAAATATTTCCATAAAAAAGTAAAAAAATGCTTTGTTTTGTGAAGGCTTAGACATACTTACTTTATATACAAGGACTAAAACAGACATAAGCCAACATCTTCTTGTGTGAGCCTCTAAAAGCCACAACGTGTACGAAGGGGTAGACGTTGAGCTGCTTCTACCCGCTGGACAATGTTGAAGAACGGCCATGCCTGGTCCAGCAACCATCCATCCCATTAAATGATTCTGATCCAAAACTTGTGGAAAATTTGCTAAAAATGCGTTAAACACAGGAGAAATTCTGGAAAAAAAAATTTTTAAATCAAATATTTTTAGTCATTAAAAAACTTATATTAATATAATTTTGAAGTTAAAAAAAAAAAAATTATACCTTAGTCTATGAGGAGGAAAATAAAATGTGTTTTCTTGTTGGCTGTAGCCAAGAAGAAGAAATAAATGTCTAAGAACTATTCCTTGCGTTTTCGCCGTAGATCGTTCTTCCATTGGAAAAGCTTGTTCTGATCTAGACATAAACTGCATAAGTAGAAAAATAAGAAGATGAATTGTTTCGTGATCGTTTCCTTCCAAATTTAAAACGCGAGTTAATCCCGCCAAACCTGAATCATCACCGGCAACTAACTGATGTATGTGCCCATCTGTCAATCAATATATCATCATTAGATTTAATTTAAAAAAAAAACAAAATTCAATCGTCATCTATTTATAATTTAATTATTATATATAATTAATTAATATAATATACACAAAAAAAAAATTATTTAAATTTATAAATATTATAAAAATGTAAAATCAATATCGATACTTTTATCTAAAATTCATAAAAACTATAACACTTTTTTTTCTTTTTTTTTCGTAATACTAATTAATTATAAGACTAAATTAGTATAAAAATTTAATAAATATCATTTAATGCTAATAATAAAATTTTAAAGAAGCTAAAAAATTTTTTTTTGTACGAATAGCAGCAACTTTACTAAAATACATGCTTCTGTACCTAAATAATCTACCTACTAATTATCAAACTCGTGCTAGAAATACTATTGAAAAAAGAAATGCTAAAGAAAAAATTTTAAAAATTGAATTTAGTCTTTAGATTTAAAAAAAAATTATAATTAAATTGAATTGAATTTTTCCCATGCTTTCAAAACGATGATAAATGATAATAAAAACAAATTTGCAAAATTTATCATTACAATAATACAAATAATATCAGAAAGAAAAAGATGATATGAAAAATATCATTATTAAAATTGATTTCCTCTGGAAAAAAAAAAAAAGATAATTTTCATAACGATTAGATTATTTAAAATAAATAAATTTTAATACATTAAAATATAAATTAAAAAGTTATCATCATTACGACAAGAAAATTTTAAACTTTAAATAATTTTTAAAATTTTTCATAGATTTTTTCCTAATCAATTGTTTAAAATGTCTTTCTTTATTTTTTTTTTTTTTTTTTTTTTTTAAAAGGGGGGAAGGTGTGTGAATGATTATTTTAAAGAAAGGATAAATAGATGAAAGAAATATTAAAAATAATAATAATAACATAAATAAGGCAATACTAAACTATAGTGCAACTACAATGCTTTTTGCCTACTCTACCTGGCAAGCTGTTATTTGGGGGCACAGAGCCTAAAAACTGACCCAGTCCGAATCGTGAACTTTTCCTTTTGAGTATCGGTGCCGAATATTGTCTGCTGTATATTTTTTCTTTGTCTGAAAAATTTCAAATAGATTTCTAAGGTTGAGTAGTGCTGTGGAATAATAAAATCATTTTAATTACCTAAAAATTTACCCTGTTTTGTATCTGGTTGAGGTACCATTGATGCCGGTGCTGACATCGTTCTTTTATACGGCCATTTCGGTCCGAAAGATGCACTTAATGTCTTTAAAGAACTATCATTCGAACTTTCCGATCTTGACAAAGCTTCGTGTGCTCGATTGAGTTTTCTCGTAAATGATTCACAACTTAAATTCGAATTACGCAAATCTGAAAATAAAAATTTTTTTTTTTTTTTTTTTTATATTTATATGATTTACATTGTTTACTTGTATAATAAAATTATAAAAATTTCTTCTACCTCTAACGAAAGAAATATCTCCTGATTTTTCAAGATTTATTTGTGCTTCCAAAAACAATGCATCAAATCGACTTAAAAAAAAATCCCAAGTCAAAATTTTTCTATCGCTAAGGCAATTGTGAAGTTGGTATATAGCCTAAAAAATATTAAATAAAGTTTCAAAAAACAATTATACTTTTTTTTAAAATCATTTTGATTTGATTGTTTAGTTAAAAACCTGTAAAACGACTGGTCGATCTACTATTACGGTGTCAAATTGGGTTTCCAAGCATCCAACTAACGATTTTATTGATGAATCATGAATGGTTCCTAAATATAAGGTAGCTCTCTGTGCAACTTGTACATTTTCATCGTCCATGCTTAGAATTAAATAGCAAAATACGTTTGCAAGAGCTGCTTGAAGAACGAATTCGTTGTACAAAGGTGTTTGATCCATAAATCTGGCAATGACAGTTACACGTTCCACTAAAACATTCAAAAAAAAACAAAATTGTAATTGTTTAAAAACTGTAATAAACTACAACTGAGTTATAATTTTGTGTAAATGATGAAAAAGTACCAGCTGTAAACCGAACTTTCCAATCCACATTTTGAAAATCTTCCTGAACAACTTTCCAAAAAGTGTCAGAACCAGCAGGTAGTGTAATACAATGAAGTAGTAAAGGAACAACAACCTCACCTATGTGAGACTCATTGGCATTGCAAAATTCCCATAGACTGACAAAAAAAAATTAATTTTATTATAATTTTTTTTTTTAAAGGAAAAATATTTATTCTATAGAAATGAAATTACTTTTTTATAAGTAAATTTTCTTGAGACCATATAAAAAAACCACGGTGATCTTTTGAAGCTTTTGTAAAGGCATCTCCGTGTAATACCAATATATAAATACACTGAAGAGCATAATAAAGTTCTGATACACTTGATTTAGGTAATGAGTTAAGTAAAGTATGCAAAAGTTGCAAATGACCAGGAAGTTCATCAATGACAAAATGAAATTTTCCCTCAGAAGTTTGCCAAAAATTTTCTGCATCTTCTTGTGTTGCTTCTAGTAATTGATCATTTTCACCAACCAATGTTGCTTTTGCTACATGAGCAGTAGCAGTTGCTGTAAGCATTGTAAAATTGTGTAAATTATTCATAACCAAATAAGGCTAAAAGTCAATGTAATGAGCTTTGTGAATGAGTACTAGATTTTAACATCATTAATACCTTGAAAGGTAAATGTTTTAATTGTATTAACAATAATTTCATTCATTTCTGAGTGCAAAGCTCATTACAAACAAAGTAAAAACTTCACATTTAGCTATTGCAAATTGTTAATAAATTTATTTATAATAGCTCACCAACATCTGCATCAGAGATGGTTACTTGTCTAGCAACAGCTGGAAGTATTCTTTCTGCAGCAACAACAGGAGCTAAATCTAATTGTTCTGCTACTGTTTCAACAGTTGCAGTCATAATCTGTGAAAAAAACTAAAGAAATATATATGTTAATGTAGGGGTTTAAAAATTAACATAAGCCTTTATCGTAGGCTTAAACTACTTACCAAATATTTCGTCAATAAATTCTCAATTATTGAATAGTTAGGCAAAAGAATTAAATTACATAAAATATAAATAATAATTTGATAATTTTATATAAAGATGATGAGGAGTGCGAAGATAAATGAATGAAAACGAATAAAACAGAAAACAGCCCACATATAACATCGACCACCACACCACGCCGAAAACAAAAATACCACCGTAATATTTTATTTAAAAAAAAAAAAAAAAACAAAAAAAAACCATTTTTTTACTATAAATAAAATTAATATTACCTAATCTCTTATTTATAATTAAATTCAAGTAAGACAAATTGTTTTCATTAAATAAATTTTTAATCTATGTAAAAAAATTCTCTTAATGAAATTTATAAAGACAAACTTAAAGTTTCCTATATTATATAACTAACCTTGTGATATTTACTAAAAATTAATAGTAAAATTGATATTAAACAAGCATTACTTTAATTTTTTTCTCAAGTTTGATTTAATTAGATTTTAGTGAACTATAAAGGCTAAAAAAAAAGTTGCTGTAATGTTACCACTCAAATAATAATAATAATAATAATAATACCAATTGGAAAGCAAAACAGCAAATATATGTTAAAAACTATAATGCCATAAAACTAAATTAATAACTGAAGATATAAACTGTTATGGTATTTCTCTTAATTACAAATACTTTAATTAATAGTGTGCATAATGTAAAATTTTACTGGATTGTGCAATTAAACAATTATGATTATTAATTATATAATAATACTTGGTATTGCAACTCATCAAAATGAAGTAATGTTCTCATCTAAGGTACAATATACAATTTGATAAAAAACATTATTAAATATGAAGAACTTTACTATTGTCTATTTTAAATAAAATGTTAAAATGAAAACATTTTATTAAATAAGAATTGGCTAGATTTTAATTAGAATCTACAGTATGTATGTATTCAATATACGACATTAATACCTAAATGTAAAAAACCGATTTCTTGCCACATAAAGCTGAAAAAAAGCTAAATTTTATTGTAAAAACAAATTAAATTTATAAAAATAAATGAATAGTTAATGAATAAATGAATTACCTCAAGAAAAAAACTCACGATTCATTTTTTAATTTCACAAATGATTTTAAATGTTTTATGTGTATTATGAGCTGATTCGCGCGCGTTAAAAAGGAAACAAAACTTTTGGCGCCAAAAAAATTAGCAAATGGATTTACGCAAACATGGCGGTTACATTAACGTGTAAGAAAAAAGGAATTAATAGTTAACGGTAAAAGTTTTTAAATTTTTTTCGAACATCAATAATGATTATTTTTTTAATATTTACTTTAATAACTATTCCTTTTTTCTACCACTTATCAATTATTTTTTTAACTTTCAAATAAATATTTATTTATTCTTAAAGCACATATATATTTGCTTATAAAATGATTGCATTGGAATTGTTAGGTTTTCCTGCAAAAAAAATTTGTTTTTTTTTTTTTTTTGCTACTAAAGTAAGCAGAATTTAAACTTACATGTGGCATATGAACAAGAACACCCCCGACTGTGTGAACTTCCAATAAAGGAATAGGCATATTAATAACCACTTCTGATTTGGTATCTTGCTTCTTTTCATTCTCGGGAGGGCTTTTACGACTTTGTCCTTCTTCACTTTGTCCTTCTTCTACAAACGTCTGAAATAATTTGCATACCTTTTTTGTTTTTTTTTAATGTCTCTAAAATTGCTCATTCCTATAGTTTCATTTCCAAAAGCTGAGATAACCTATGTAAATTGTTTATTTATTCATGTAATGATTTGGAAAATTTTCCCCTTATTTCAGCATTGTAATTATTAATGGAAAGATATAATTTAAGGTTTATTTTATAATTTGCCTCAATGTATTTTTAATTTATTTAATCGTTTTCGTACTACTGCCACTTTTAGTACATGTTTCGAAGATGACCCATCAAATAAGAAGAAAAATAAATTCAAAGCGGTTGTTATCAATATTAGGAAATTAAACATGAACAGAAATCATGCAATGAATGTGGTGTGGCAGTTATTAAAGGGTTTGACAAATTTATTAAACACCGAGACATCAACAATCTCATGGACACAGAAAACAATTCAAAAGTTCAACAGTAAGACAGTTTTTTTTTTTTTAAAAACAATTCAAAAATTCACATTCAGGCATTTTTAATTTAGGAATTAGATAGATTTGAAAAAAAAAAAAAAAAAATTTTCTTTTTTAAAAGGAACTTACATCTGGTGGATGAGCTGATTCTTCTGGATTTATTATGGTGACAAGTTGTAAAACCAATTGATACCACATTACCCTTGCTTCGCAATGAGCACATTCTCTTTGTTCGCACTGATGTGCTTCAGACCATTGTGCTGCTAGCATAGATTTTAAGAGTTGCCAAATGTCTTGAGCTAAAGAAGTTGTTATGCCACCATGCTTTTCAATATTTTGAAGTTCCATCTGAAAATTTTTCAAGTAAACATTTTTTTTATTTAAAAAAAATACAATAAAATTGGTTTTTAAAATTTTTCTTACTTGTTTTAAAAGTATATCTAACATTAAAATACAACATGATAAATCAAGTTCAATGTCTGATTCTAATTCTTGGTTTTTTAATGCAGGTGTGTAGTCATCGGATAAAGGTGAAGCATTTCCTGAGTCTTCTTCCTTTACAGGAGCTGAAAATTATGAAGGGAATGAAAGTGAGTAAAACAAAATGATGATGTTTCCTATTAGTTAATTATAACAGTAACTTGTTGTAAATGTTTATTTAAAACAAAAAGGTATTTTATTTTAATTTTTTGTCTGAAATTTAATCAAATTCTAAAAAAGTAAAACAACTTGCATATGCTACTTCTTCGAGATTCTTCTTCTGCCACGAGATGATTGTTACTTTTTTCTTTACTCTTTACACTCGGTTGCATTACTTTTATTCCATCATTAAATATAGAAAATAAAAGAGATAAAGGTACTACAATTTCCAAAGTTGTTAAAACCTGTAATTTTAAATTTCATTAAATATTTAAATATTAGAAATTTAAGTAAAAGTTTGGGAAAAATTTACCTGGAGCCAATTTAATGCTTGTTCTTGTACTTTGGAAGTTGTTTTTTTAAACCTTATACTTAAAAATCGATACATTTTTTTGGTGTCAAAACCTAGTGGACTCATAACAGGATCCAAAATTTTACTAAAAATTTAATAAAATTTTTTAATAATTTTTTTAAATTTTAATGTGAGTTTAAAAATAAAATACCTTAAAAGTAATTTTAATTCATTCAATTCTCTTGCAGGAACGTCCGTGACAATTGCTTCTAACCATCTGGGCATAATATGTTCCCAAGTTTCGCTGCTAACAACCTCATAAGGCACAAGACAAAGTAAGCGATGTAAACCTTCTTTTAAATGGCATGTCTTGGAAGTTAATGTATCCCTATTATTTTAAAAATTTTTATTTTTTATAATTAACTAAAAAATTATTAATTTTGAAAAAAAAAAAAAAAGGAAAATCGTTACCAGTGTCCTCCGACTCTTGCATATTCAGGCGGATGAGGCATCAAGCAAGACACAAATACTTTAAAATGAGTTTTCGCCACATCATTTAGCCATGCACAGACATGTTCATTTTTGAGTTTTTCAATAGTACCTTCATTGAGAACTTGATCATCGTAAAGGTATGCTGTTACGTAAAACCAGTGAAAAAGCATTGATAGCAACCTACCAAGTACCTTAAAAAATATGAAAGAAAACTTTTGTATTAATTTTTAAATTCGGGTAATGAAAATTAGTAGGTATGAGTCAAAATTATTACTTGCGGTGAGGTATCTTCTCTTGGGGTGCATAGTCCAACAAGAAGACAAACGCCGTATCTTCCCAATAATTGACTTTCTTCTAATGTCATATTATCAGATGGAGGTGGAGGATTTAACATGGTTGATTTGACATTTTCGTGGCCATCTTTATTTGGACTATTTGCTCCTGGTTTTGCTTCTTTCAAAAGACTTACCACAGATTCTATCAGGTAAACCTGGAAACAAATGATATGTTACAGTTAAATAAAAATTTAATTTACTTAATTAACTATTTTTAAAGAAGAAATTTTCACCTGCATTTCTGCATCTAAATCCCAAACAGGAGGTAAACTACGATGAACGATATGATCACCTCCTCTTCGGTTATTATGCCTGTTATTATGACACTGCTGACAAAATCTAATCGGATGATTACCATTATAACTGGCACATTCGGAAGCAAAGCATATGGATACGGCATGTTTATCTTGTGCTCGACAATTCTGAAAACAGAATAACACTCTGAATCTTAATCAAAAGCTTTAAATGATAAATTTTTAAAAAAAAAATATTATACTTTGTTTTCGCAAAATGAAGAAATGTTTTGCATGGGATGCAAAATATCATAAAACATCTGATTTGGATGTTCTCTGTGAATTGTATTCGCACATTCAATGCAGAGATAAAGAGGCGGAGGTGAATCCGTGGAAAATGTTATGGATATACAATGATCGTAACAAACTTTAGCAGCTTCCGCATTTCCAGCATTTGGACACATGTCACGTTGACACACAAAAGACGTCCAATCAGCTGAAAATATTTTAAGAAAGAAAAAAAAAAAAATAATTCTCAACATTTATGCGTTGTAAATTTATGAATCACAAGTTTAAGAAAAAAAATGAGATTCCTTTTAAAGCGTACTGGATATTTTCGGTTGATTTCCTTTTATGTCCCATATATTGGGATTAAATGTTGGCCAATAATAAAAAAGAAGTTTTGCAGCAGATGCTCTTGCCGTGGACGTCCCGTGAGCGATCACGCATAGAATATCACGGGCAACACCAGGTTTCAAAGCCATTAAACATTCAATGAGTTGACAATGATGTGATAAAGATGAGCAATGTTGAAACACGAGCATTATCACGGAAGTTACTGATTGGCTAGCATAACTTTCTTCCTCTTCAGTTTTTCTCGCTTTTTTTTAAAATAATTCCAATTATTATTATTATTTAATTTTTTTTATTGTCGATATTATTATAAGTTACTTACTTATGGTAAATGGTAAAATATAAAAACATAAAGAATTAATGACTTCCTGATGTAATGAAGAAGGTAACACTGCCAGAGCAGATGCTACCAGATAAGGCAATGAATCAATCATTTCATTATCTAAAAACGGAAGAAGACATCCCAGACATTGAAGAATGGATGTACCAAAAGCTGTTGATAATAATAAAATATTATTAAAATTAATTCTTTAATCAAACAAAAAGAAAAAAAAAAAAATTAAACGTACGTTGAATTCCATATTGGATTAAAGGAGCAACTTCAAGGAGTTGGGTGATAGCTCTATACAATCCTTTGTATTCTAAATTAGGAAAAAGTCCTAATCTTGTGGCATCTTTTTCTTTAGATTTTAACATTTGTAACGGTGAATTGGGTACATCTTTTAAAACGGCTATCAAAAAAAAAAAATTATTATTTATGTAAATGAAAAATTAATAAAATAAAATAAATAAATAAATAAATAAATTTGAAAAACTATAATTACTTAATAACGTTTGAGAGAAATATTTAAGAGTATTTGCGATATCAACACCGGATGGTACAGGAAGTATACCGTGAAGAAGTCGAAGTTGATAATCATTTAAACTACGAACCTTTGCCGTAACTAAACAGAAAATTTAAATTTTTAATAAATTAATAAAAAAAATCTGACGAGTAAATTAAAATATTTACCAACATGAGAATTAATATCATTAAAAGTGACAAAAGAAAAAAAGGAACTTACAGGCAGCGGCTCGAGTTCCCATAATCAACATGATTAATTTCTTTTTTTTTTTTAAATTTTTCTCCTCGATAAAAATATTTTATTAAATAACGGTAAAAAACTGGTTAACATTTTGGAAAAAAAAAAAAAGTAGGTTAAAACTATAAAGATCATTTAAAATTACGCAGGTCCTGGAGAGAAAATCGGATCGATATCACAGCATCCCAAACGCCCCTCACGCGATATACGCCTTCTATGGTGTCATCATCATCATCATCATGCGTGGAACGTTTTAATAATTTATTTTTGTACAAAAATTTATTAATTGAACCCTTAATAAAATTATTAAATAAAAACTAAAATGTGTGACGGCGTATGTCGGTTATTATTTTTTTTTTTAATTACCACATAGTTTATTAAACTTTTATCCTCCGTTTTGAAAATTGTTTTAAAATTTATTAAAATCACTTTTATACCTTGTAACCTGAAAAAAAAAAAATGAAAATAAGGATAAAATAAAAATCAATCAATATTTACACCAAGAAAAGGCCATAATTTTATTTTTATATAATAATAATAATAATATTAGATTAAATGAAAAAAAGCAAATTTAAATATATTTTTTTAAATTAAAAACTGCAAATAATTTTAATAATAATAATAATAATAATAATATAAATAAATTTTTTTAAAGAATACTTTTAAAATCTAAGTCTTAATTTAAGCAATAATAATATATATATTAATATATTTTAATTTAAAATTATAGCTTTTTAATTTTGGAAAAGCGTGCGAGTGAATTCTATGTAATCCAATGCTCCTGGAATTGGTCTTTCCGTTTTTGGATCCACGTAAGGTTTCATACGATCGACGCAATAATCCGCCATTTCTTTCGTCAAATTCTATAACGGAATATATATAATAATAATAATAATTTAATTACAATTTTAATGATTTTTTTTTCATAAAACTCACCGCGTATAATTCGTCTTTGGTGACGTAGGGTCGATCGGCAGCAGTTATTGCTCGGAAGGCATTTTCTATTTCGTCTGAACTTTGTACGTTTTCCGTTTCTTTTCTTATCATAAACGTCATGTATTCTTTGAGTGATACGAAACCATCTCTATTTCGATCGACGACATCTAAAAAAGAAAAAAGAAAAATTGTATTTACCGGGATGACGATGACGACGTAAAGGAGAAAAAAAAAAAAAAAAAAAACAAAAAACCAACCGAGTATATCTTCGAATTCGGGATCAGGTTGTCCTTCTTCCATCATGGGCAAATCATAGCCCAAAGCACGAAGACAACTTTTAAATTCTTGATGATTCAAACGTCCGCTCTTATCCTTATCGAAATGTTTAAACATCATGGAAAATTCTTTGAGAGCATCCTCAGATACTCCCGATTGATTTCTCGCTTGAATTTGCTGCTCCAAATTATGTTGCATTCTCATTCCCAATTGATCCAATTGATCCCATTGTTGTGCCAGTCCCACGGTAGAATGTTCCGTGTACCTGTTATCCAAAATCAAATGTTCTTCGAGGAGTGCACCCAAATCTTCGATTCTTTTCAAATCGGATTTACGTGCTCGAACTTCCGTCGCTTTACTTTTCGTTGCTTCGAGTTGTTGATCCAACGATCCAGAACCTTCCATCATTGACGTCCTGAAATTTTTTTTTTTTTTTAACATTCATTTCAATTTAAACACCTCAAGCTTGTTTTTTGTTTGTTTGCTTGTTTGTTTATTAGCGAGTAAAAAAAAAAAAAAAAAAAAAAAAACTTGTAAATTAGTGAGAAACATGCAATGAAAGCACACACACTTTAGCTTTTAAATTTGATTCAGCCTTTCAGCCTTTTTAAAAATTTTTTTTTGCCAGCATCGATAATGATAATAAATTTAATGTTTTTTGTAAAAAATAAAAAAAAAAAAACGCAAAAACATCAATTTTTTTTTTTTTTTTTTTTTTTTAAATATTAATTTTTCGGGGAAATGCAAAAAAAAAAAAAAAACCCAAAAAATTTAGCAAAGATTGTTAGAAAAAAATAAAAATAAATAAAATAAATAAATAAATAAATAAAAATTCAACACATATTATTTATCAATATATATTCACCCATTCCACCCTAGTAATCTATATCTGAAATGAAAATATTTCAGAATTCTATTTAATTTTTCTTTCTTTTTTTTTTTTTTTTTTTCTTACAAACATCTTTAATTACCAAATTATTGTTTGTTTGTTTGTTTGTTTTGTTTGTACGGTGTTAAATTATTGTCTCTTAATGTTTTTTCTTTTTTTTTTTTTTTTTTTATTTACCTCGTTTCCGTCAACCATTGATGGAAAGCGTTTGCGTGTTTGGCAAATTCTTTACGAAGTTTATCATTTTCTTCTTGACGTTGAGCTTCCTTTGCCAATTCCGTGTCTCGTTCCTGTAAAAGGAAAAAAGGAAGAAAAAAATGAACATTTTAAGAAATATTTCATTTAAAATAAAAAAAAAAAAAAAAATTTTTTTTTACCTTAATGATTTTTTTTAAATTTCTCCAAGTGTCTTCCAAAGCTTCCATGGTAAACCAGGTATAAGGATTCGGTCCAACGTTGAAACTTTTAATCTGTTGATCTAAAGCGGCCAGAGCTTCGAAATCAGCTTGAGCTGATGACAAAGATGCCTAAAAATAATATTATTATTATTATTTTCATCGAATGATGCCTGTTCGTTCAATTAAATTTTTTTAAAAAAAAAAAAAAAAAAAAAACCTGAAATTGAGCGTGAGCATCTCTCAAAGCTCGGATTTCTTCGATAGAATTACATCGAACTGGATCCGTCAAATCTTCTTCGGCATTTTCAAACCATGAATTAAACGCGGAAGCTTTTTTCGCAAAAGTTAAATAAAGCTCTTCGATTTGACGGAATTGATCTTGCATTCTCAATAATCTTTGCTTTCTGGCATCCGAATCTGCTAAAAGCTTTTGCCATCTTGCAATTACGTTTCCGTGTCTCTTCAATATGGCAGGACTCTGATCGTGTTGAGCGGCAATTAATTGATCTTTCAATGCGGTTATGTTCTGAATACCTTCGTGTTCGAACGCGTGAAGTCCTGATTAACAAAAATAATAATAATAATAATAATAATAATCGAATTTAATCAAATTTAAACAAATTATTTAATATTGTTTGAAATTTTCACACTTGCCTGCATCGAATGTTTCCTGTTTAGTTAAAAGCGTTTGAACCGTTGACAAATCCCGGCCAAATTCTTCCGAACGAACATGAGTTTCTTTATCGGCAATCCAGGATTCAACAACATCCGCTTTCCACATGAATTGCAAGTACGCAGAATTATCCATTAGTTTTGCTTTGCGGTGAGCAGCCAGATTTGACAAGTGATCCAATTTATTCTAAAACGCACATTTATTTATTTTTTAGCAAATACATAAAATTTAAATAAAAAAAAAAAAAATAAGAAAATTACTTGTAATTGTTGACATCTTTGAATAATACTGTCACTGTGATGATTTTCACCTTCGATGAGTTGGGAACCTGCATTACAAATGTCTGCACACCGTTCTTTGTGAGCAGCAAAATCAGTTTCGAATGCGTCGTGTTTTTTAAGCAAACCCTGAACGGCAGCCATTGTATCTCCGTAATCTTCAACTGATAGCAATTGTTGTTTTTCACTGAAAATAAAAATAATAATAAATTACGGCATTTACCAACGGGATTGAAATTCGCTTAAATTCAATTTCATACCTTATCCAAGCTTCTTCTTCTTCGACTTTGGCCAAAAATTGTTGGTAAGTTAACGATTCATCCAATTTTTGACCTCTTGTGGCTGCCAATTGTTTTAATTCGGCCCAAGCTTGATTTAAGGCTTTCAAACGTTGTTCTATTTCTGGCACGCCCAAATTTGAGACGTCCATTAATTTTTCTCCGGCTTCTTGCACGGCTTGAATAGCAGGTTCGTGAGATGCCAATTCGGCTTCTAATCTCTTGTGTTTTTTTTTCAAATTTTGAACTCCGGTCAAATCACGTCCGTAGTCATCGGATCCGACCAATAACTTTTTCTCTCTGAATTTTGCAATGAATTTAAAAGAAAAATTACGTCACATATTAAAAAAAAAAAAAAAATCAAATAATGAATCAGTTTTAATTAAAATGTAAAACTCACTTAATCCATGATTCCTCATCGGCAATGTCTCTGAAAAACTGATGTAAAGTGTTGGCTTCATTTAATCTTGCTTGTCTGTGAGCAGCCAAATTGTGCACACGTTCGTAGCGTTCGTTAATGGATTGACGTCTTTCTTGAATACTCGCAGTGTCGAACTGCTGACTTTCAATCAAAGAATCAGCTTGTTTATTCATGTCTGCAATTGATTTAATGAAAAAATTTTACTTTCAAGTGAGTAACACAATAAACCGTTAAAATTTATTAAAATTATACCCTTGATACGATCTTCATGAGCACTTATGTCAGCTTCTACCAATTGATGTTTTTTCATCAAATTTTGAACGGATGCTAAATCTTTTCCAGAATCTTCGGATGTTAACAATGACTCAACTTCTCCAAGCCAGAAATCCAAATCTTTGACGGCGGCCACATAAGTTCTTTGTTTGTTCGCCTCTTTGAGTTTTAATGTTTTTTCCGTTGTTTTTTGAGTCAAAAATTCCCACTGCTCGGTTATGGAAGCAATTCTCGCCTGTGAAAGACAGTTTTTTATAATTTTCACTTTCCTTCAAAACTTTATATTAAAATTTTTTTATAAGATTACTAAATAAAACTTACTTGCACGGCATCTTCAGATCCGGCACACTGATGCTTATCGATCAAATTAGTTCCCATGGCCAAAACGCTTTGAATTCTGTCTGCATTGGCTGCAAGTTCGGCTTCAAAAGCTTGATGCTTTTGATGTTTCGATTGAATATTTGCTGGATCCTTGTAACTTTCTTCCGTAGCCAATTGTAATTTTTCCGCAATCCAATTTTCCATTTCATCAGCATCTCGACTGAACTGTTGCAATGTTTGCGATTCTCCCAAACGTGATCGCTTTTCAATCAAAGCTTCTTTCAAATGTCTCCATCTATCTAAAACCTGTTTACGTTTTTCGTCGATGTCGTTGGAAGCATAATGATTGGCAGCCATTAACTGATCGGCTAATGTTTGTAAAGCAGCGATTTTTTCTTCCTAAAGGAGTAACGGTGACGATTTTTGCTTTATTTTATAGAAAAATTTTGAAATTCATTTTATGTTTTTATAAATATTTACGTGAGCATTAATTGCTTTATCGAAATCTTCGTGTTTTTTTATCAAGGCTTCCACGTTATCTCCTTTAGAATCTACTTCTTCGGAAGCTAAAAATGCTTCTCGAGCAGACATCCAGTTTTCAGCTTGTTCGCAATCTCTGTAGAACAATTGAAGTTCCAAGTTTTGATCTAATTGAACGCGTCTGGCAACCCAAGCCCTTTAAACAAAATATTAAAAGGGTTATTCATTCACTTTTCCCACTCTTTTCTGTTATTCAATGCTAAAAAAAAAAAAAAAAAAAAAAATTACTTTTCCAATTCTTGGCGAGCTTCACGCATGCTTTCTAATTTTTCCTGTATTTCAACACTGGCGTAATGACCAGCTTGAAGAAGTTGTTGTCCAAATAACTCGAAAGCTTGAAACGTTCCAGCCCTAGCATCAATTTCAGTTCTGTGTTCCTAATAAAATTAATTAAAAATTTATATAATTAAATTATATTAAAAAAAATAAATTTCAAATTTTAAAGCTTGTTTTAATAAGGCTCTTAAAATTTTTAAAGAACGCTTATGGTAAAAAAAAAAAACGCAACCTAAACAAACAGAAATAAAATTTTTCAAATATATATATTATATTAACCTAGTGATTCAACGCATCATCAAAAAATTTTTTTTTTAAAGAAAAACTTTGTTTAAAAGAAAATAAATAAAACTGCATAGAATTTTCATACTGAAATTTTTCTATTTCATTAAATACTCTTTTTTGAAAATTTAAAAAAAAAAAAAAAAAAAATCAAAGCCCAATATTTCGTATCGCCCAATTTGTACATATGATAAGCCAGCTAAAAAAAAATTTTCCACTCATTTTTTCTTTCCCGTTTTCAATGGAAAGATTATATTTTATTTTTAATAAAATAAAATGGCACGCATTTATTTAGGTTTTAAAATGTTATGAAAACTTTTTTTTAAAGCTTTAAAAATTTAATTCAAACATGAGTTGAAAGTTAGTTTTAGAAAAAAAGTAAAAATATTTTTGGATGAAATATTTAATTGGTTATCTTTATGAAAACTTATGTAAACAATGTTAGGGACAATATACCTGAGGGATACCGTAGCGAGAATCAATTTCCACTCGATAACTCTATAAAAAAATTTTTGCTTTAATTTTTTTTTTTTTTTTTCAAACCTCTCTTCATCAAGTCTTTATAACAAATGTACTTTGTACTTAAAATTTTAAATTGTAAATTTACCACAATATTACATTGCTGTAAGAATTTGAAATTTAGTAAGAAATGCAAGTGTACCTGATGACGTTCCAAAAGGGCTTCGGCTCCGGTAACATCATTAGCCAATTCTTCACTTGACACGAGACCCATCATGCTAGTGATCCACGACATGAGGTCACGATAGTCGCTGAGGAAACGTTGAAGGTCGTAAGAATCTAAAAGTTTTTCCTTACGAGAATTGGCTTTGGCCGTAAGTTGCGTCCATTCTTCGTTTATTTCACGTTGCTTGGCGAAAGTTTGATCGGCAGTATCCGGATGCGTTTGCATAAGACGATTAGCAGTTTCATCCAATTGACGAATCTAAATAATGGTGAAATGTTTAGTTTTCCTTTTTATCAAAATACGGTCGAAAATGTTTTTCTTTTTCTTACTTTATCACCCAATGCAGCCAAATCCCTCTCCAATCCTTCATGTTTTCTTTGCAAAGCCTGAACGCTTCTTAAATCTTTTCCCAGATCGTCATTATTAAGAGCCTGATCTTTCTCTTGAATCCAATCTTTTGTCTCATCGACATCCCGATGGAATCTTTGAACTTCGTGAGCGGATCCTAATTGGGCAGCACGTTCTGATGTCAACTGTTGCAACGAAGCCCATTTGTGATTCAAATCCTAAAAAAACGAAAAAAGAAGGTATTTCAGAAAGGATTTGGCAAAATTATAAATATTTTATTGCTTTCAAAACGTTTTAATAAATTACCTGAATTTGAGTTTGAATCTTTACGGCTGCCTCAGTTTGACCGATGCTCATTAATTGAACGGCAATTTCATTCATTTCAGCTAATCTGACTTCGTTAGCTTTTAAATCCGATTGGAAATCATCAAATTTCTTTTGTAAAACTTCAACTTGTTCTAAATCTTCGCCAACATCTTCCACTTCGGCATAATTCTCTTTATCCTTAATCCAATTGGCTAATTCTGCAGCTTCCCTTACAAGAACATAAGCCTTAACGGTTTCATCTAATTTATTTTGTCTTTCTTTTGCCAATCCCAACAAGTGTGAATATTGACCTTCAATCTAAGAAAGAAATGAAATTTTAAAAAAAAAAAAATTTTTAAAGATAAAATTTCAGGCTCTCAAATTGTTAATATAATTACTTGGTTTTGACGAGCAGCAATCGAACTATTATCTGCCAAGTTTTGCTGCGAAGCCGTAAGTCCTGCTTCCATTTTTTTCACGTAAGCAGCTGGAACAAAACCTTGCCTGTCGTTTACCTCCACTTTCCACCAGTCATTGTTATTTGAATTCAAAAGGGTGAGAATGTCTCCTTTTTTCATCGACACTTCTCGAGGCGATTTTTCCGTGTAATCGTAAAGAGCCATAACGCATTCTTTTCCTGTGACGTCTATGACGGGAGTTTCTTGTTGCTTTAAAACAAACAGGTAATTTAATATTTACAATCAATCGTCTACAACTTATTTTAATAAATCGATATTAGAGGAAAAAACGTACACGGCATGCTTGAGCTTGTTTTTTCAAAGCAGATATTGTACTATCGAATGCTTCCAAATCGGAAACCAAAGCTTCGTGTTTTTTTAACAACGCTTCGGAAGAATCTTCGTCTTTCCCGTAATCAGTAGACGTCACGATCGGTTCTTTTTCTTTAATCCAAGATTCCGCTTCATTAGCATCAGCGAAATACTGATGAGCTTGCAATGAATCTTCCAAATCTTGTTTTCTCTGCAATAAATTGATGTTTTACACTTTACAACTATATCCAAAATACAAAATTTTTAAAATGCAAAATTAATTATGGCTAACCTGCAAGGCCTTATTTTTAAGTTGATTCCAATGGTCTTTTAAAATGGCTATCCTTTGTTTTATATCATCCTTTGCAAAGTGACCGTCGTTGAGCATTTGCTGACCGACTTGGCAAACGGCAGCGACTCTGTTTTCGTGATTATTGATTTCCGCCAAAACAGCTTGATGTTTTTTAATCAAGTTTTGGACACCGATCAAATCGCGACCTGATTACAAAAACAAACTCAACTTTAAGATAAAAAATGAAAACTGAGAAAAGATACTACGAAGAAAACCTAATACCTCGATTGGTAGAGGCTGCAACAGGTTCTTTTTCACGAATCCATGCTTCTTCATCTTCAATGTCTCTGAAAAGCTGTTGAACTTGAAGTGAGTCTAACAAACGTTGTTTTCTTATTCCCATGGGACGTTGCAATGCAGCATAACGTTCACTAAGGGCTTCCTATAAAAAAAAAAAAAAGAGAGAAAAAGAAATCACTAAATGTTACGCATTCTTAAAATTAGAAAAAATTCTACAAGTTTTTAATGTAATAATAGAAATTTTACTTGTTTTGCTTTTATGTTGTCTGCATCGAAATGACCACGTTCAACAAACGTTTCAGCAGCGTGAACGATACCGTCAATACGATCTTGATGAGAAGCTACATCAGCTTCCAATAAGGCATGTTTTTTTTGTAAATTTTGCACGCTTGTCAAATCCTTTCCGTAATCCTCACTCAACAATTGTCCTTCAACTTCCGAAAGCCATAATTCAACATCCTCCACTGTCCTATTAAACTGTTGTTGTTGAGACGCTTCTTGTAATTTGGTACCTTTTTTATCGGTGGCTGCGACCAATGCATCCCATAATTGCACGATTTCATCAGTTCTAGCTTGAATGCGATCTAAATTAATAAAAAAAAAAAAAAAAAAAAATGAGTGTGATTCAGAATTACGTAGTGTACTACTTATAATAATTTAGTAGGAAAAGATTTTGTAAGAACCAGAGGCATAATGATTAGCATCGATGAGATCTTGACCAGTCGATGTTATTTCATCCATACGTGATCGATTAGCTCCCAATTCTTGTTCGAAATTTTGATGTTTTTGAACTTTTCCATTTAAGTTAGTCGGGTCCTAAATTATTATTAAAAAATTATAATTAAAATTTAAAACAATTTTTTTTATAAAGACCAAAAAAAAAAAAAGAAATAATTTTTTACCAAGTAATTGTCGTCGGTTGCAAATTTTAATTTTTCGTTAATCCAACCTTTTGTTTCGTCACAATCTCGTTCGAATTGTTGAAGTCGGAAGGAATCGTTTAAGATATCTCTACGATTGGCAGATTTTTCCAGAAGAGCCGCTCTGCGTTCCAGAAGCTAATTTATAAATTTACAAAATTAATGATTTTTTTAAAAAATTAATAATTTCATTAAAAGCTTACCATAGCTCGTCTTTGTGCAACGTCATCCGCAGCATAATGTTGTCCTTCAATTAATTTAGTTGCAAATTCATCCAATGCTTTAATTTTTTCTTCTTGAGCCGTAAGAGATTTTTCGAAATCTTCATGTTTTTTAATTAAAGCTTCAACTGAATCTATTATTAACAAAAAAAAAAAAAAGTTTTAGTAATTTAAATAAAAATAAAATAAACATTTATATATTTCAACACATACCAAGAGAATCTCCTAAATCTTCATTGGCAAGGAAAGCTTCTTGTTTGGCCATCCATGTATCAGCTTGTTCTGTGTCACGGTAAAACAGTTGAAGATCCATACATTGTTCGTACAATATTCTTCTTTCTTCCCATAAACCGAGCAAAGATATTTTTTCATTTGATAATGTCAATAATTTGTCCTTGATTTCTTGTGATGCATAATGATCACGAGCGAGAAGAGCTTGCCCGGCATCAGTAGTGGCAGCAAAACTGTCTTCTCGAGCATCAATTTCTCCTTTGTGCTCCTGATGTCTTTCAAGCAAAGATTCAGCTCCAGCTACATCTTTCGCCAACTCATCTGCAGAAATTATGGTTTTCATATCATTTATCCATGAAATCAAATCGCGGAAATCAGCTAAAAATCTATGAAGGTGGTACGATTCATCCAATTTGCTTCGTCTTTCCTAAATAAAAAAAAAAAAAATTAGTATTATTCATTTTCAAAAATATTTGCAACTTTTTATTCGTAATAAATTTTCAGTTAAGTAGAATTACCTTGGCTTTTGCCGTAAGACTTTCCCAATAGCTAACAATTTCAGCACGTTTAGCTTGTATTTGATCACCATGGTCGGCATGAATTCCACAAAGACGATCAGCCTCTTGACCCAAAGTAGAAACTTTGTCTTCAAGAGCTGCTAGATCTCTTTCAACTCCTTCATGCTTTCTTTGTAAAGTTTGAACGCTTGCAAGATCACGACCATAATCGTCTGATGATAAGACAGCGTCTTTTTCAGAAATCCAAGCAACGGTTTCATCTGCATCTCTATTGAACCTCTGAATTTCATGAGCTCCAAATAATTTTTCTTGGCGCATTAGAGCTAATTGCTTCAACCTGGCCCATTTTTCATTAAGATCCTAATTGAATAACAATTATCTTTTGTATATTTCTCAATTTTCATACAATTATTGATTTAAAAATAACTTATTCTTAAAAAATATATTAACAAAAAGATTTATTGTAACATTCTAATTTTTAATCGTAAAAGATGCCCCTTTTTTTTTTTTTATAAAACCAACCTCTTTTCGACGGATTATAACTTCACGTTCGGGATGGCCTTCAAGTACAAGTTTATCAGCTAATTCGTTAACTTCAGTAACACGATATTCTTGTGAAGCCATATCCTTTTGAAATTCATCAAATTTTCTTTGCAAAACTTCAACATGTTCCAAATCATCTCCAAATTCATCAGTAGTAACAAAAGTTTCTTTATCATTTATCCAAAACATGACTTCATCACACTGACGAAAGAACTGAACAAGAACAAGTGCTTGGTTTAATTTCATTCCTTTTTCAGCCAGACGACTCAAAAGAAGTTCCCATAAAGCATGCAAATCATCTGAAAAAAATAAAACAAAAAATTAAATTACCTTTAAAAGTTTCAAAAGAAGAGGAATTTCGAAAGGGATCCTGATATAATTACCTAAACGCTTTTTAATGGTGTCACTAGCAAAATGATTTTGTTGAATCATTTCTTGTCCAGTGTTATCGAGAACAACAATTGCATTGCTGTGTGCTGCTACTTCAGCTTCAAAAGCTTGATGTTTTTGAATTTTCGCTTGCAAGTTTGTACAATCTTTGTAACTTTCATCAGATGCAGCCTGAAGCTTTTCATAAATCCAAGATTCAAGTTCATCAGCATCTCTTTTAAAATACTGATATCTTCTGGAATCTTCAAGTTTTTCTCTTTTGGCTCTAGCTTCTGATTTAAATTCGCCATAACGATTTAAAACCTGATCTCTTCTTTCTTGAATGTCTTCAACAGTTTCTAAAATTTTTACTTCTTTGGGTGTTATCTGCTCCATGATTATTCTGAATGCAATAAAAAATTTGAGTTTAGTGCAACTTTTTTTTTTTAAATTTCTATTTAATTACCAAAATTAAAGTTCAAAAAATTTATTTTTTTACTTTAGAAAAAAAAATTTTACTCAAAAATAAATCAAAAAAATAAGAAAGTAACAAGTATTACACGCCCTAAAATTGACCTTTTTAATTTGACCTAATGTCAAATTTTTTTCTTTTTTCTAAAATATTATTACAATTTTACCTAATTAATTAAATTAAAAAAACTAGTATATCATTTTCAATTTTGAATTTCTTTCATTTAAATAAAAAAACATAATTGGACAAAATTTTTGAAAATTTCTCCTCAATTATTTAAATATTTTCAGGAGTTTGCAAAGATATATAATAAAGCTTAAAAATATCGTAAAGCTAAAACCTAATAATCTTTTTTAAAAAATTATATTAAAAAAAAAAATCCTTTAATTCGCTCATATGATTTTTCTATTGCTGCATTCCTTATGTCGTATTAAATAAAACTTCGCTATTGCGGTAAATTAGAAAAGAAAAAAAAAAAACTTCAACTTTACATAACAAAAATTTCAATAAGTAGAAAAAAAATTACACAAATTTTTATACATTTATAAAAAAAAATTTTGAATTACAAAAAATAAAAAGAAATTTTCTCCTAAAACTTTATAAATTAGATCATGATTAATTATAATTTATTAAAACTACAGTAAGGCTACTTTCAGGGTGTGGCTCCGTTAGTTTACATTATAATAACTCTAAAACTGTTATAAATTATTTTTAATATCTACTTACAATTTTCTAGTTCCAATTAATTTGTTCCAGAACTAGATCCTTTCAAACTGGTGACTTTTAAATTATAAAATTATTAATGCTGCTTTTAATTAATCGATGATGTCATTAAACTTTTTAACACCGCCTTCTCTAAATATTAAAAGCAAAAACCGCTAATAAGAAAACTTGGAAACTTTATTATTAATATTTGACTCAGAAGTTATTAATATTTTTTTTTTACTTTAAAACTATCGTAAATTTATAAAAAATACACAATTTTAAAAAATACTAATAGAAAAAATTTTATTTATTTGCCCATAAGGTATTATAAGTAAATAAGTCGATAATAAAGAAATGAACTTAATGTAGGAATTTATAAAGTTTAAAAAAAAATTTTTTTTAAATCAAATAGTACAAACAGTTGTTGTTTTTTTTTTAAATTTTTAATAACTTAAATTCATATTATTTTTTTTATAATTATTCAATTTCATTTGGAAAACGCAAAAAAATACAAAACTAAAAGGAAAAATTTTAGCCTTAAAAAGTTTTGTTTACTAAAAGTTTTGCGGTTAGTATACAGCAAGAATATTCAATCATTCAATCAGCATCTTGTTTTTAGTAAGCAAATGCCGAAGAATTATTTTTAGTATATTTTATAAAAATATTATATCAACAGAAAAAAAATTTTTTCTGTTGGCCACTATGCTCCTTATAACCAATGAAAATCTTTAAATTCCAGGCCAGTAGATCAGGGATCGCTTTGGATGCGCTATTCCAACCCAGATGTGTATTGATTTAAAAAAAATGGTCGACCTGAAAAATTTTAATTTAAATCTTTTAAATCATCGTTTTGTTTAAATAAACGTGTAAAAGCTGCATTTAATCAAAAAATTTAGTTATTAAAAATTTATAATGGTAATTTAGGTGATAGTTTAGTGTGACTGTGATATTCCTATGTTTGAATTATACTTTTAACTAAAAATTATGTACAATTAACGTAACTGTATGCAAATCAAATTTTTACTAAATCAAATATAATTTTTTACGAGAATGGATGTCTCATTTTTAATCAGTAAAGATTTTATTTGCCATGCTCTTATTTGGATTAACAGCTTTTATAACATTGTTTTAATTGAGAATAAGGTACAGCTTTTAATTATTTAAAATTTTTATGCCTTGTTTAAATTATTATATTCGTGCCTAAAATTCATTTTTTAATACTGATTGTTTGTCGTTTTGAATGTTAAATATTCAATATTATTTCTTCGCGCTATAAATATACGTATATATTTTTTTTTGTTAAAGATAAGTACTGTTCTCAAAAAGATGGAACGTATTATACCTAGAAAAACTCGCGTTGAAGGATATATATAAATTTAAATGTGATATGGTAACTATGAGTTCAGAAAAGTCCGGCTCTCGCCGAAAACCTGATCCTGCTGGAAATAAAATTGGTAGAAGGCTTTCTCCAACAAATATTACCGATTCAGGAATAGGTGATGATTCTCCAAATCATATAGTGTACAAAAAAATGGAGCAAATTGTTGAAAAAATGCAGGATGAGAACTCTGGTGTACCTGTAAAAACTGTGAAAAGCTTTATGTCTAAAATTCCTTCCGTTTTCACTGGAGCTGATCTTATACTGTGGATGACAAAAAATTTAGATGTAGATGATCAAGTAGAAGCTTTACATGTTGCTCACCTAATGGCTTCCCATGGATATTTTTTCCCCATAGACGATCATGCTTTAACTGTTAAAAATGATAATTCATTTTATCGCTTTCAAACTCCTTACTTTTGGCCATCAAATTGTTGGGAACCAGAAAATACAGATTATGGTATTTCATTGTAACATTTTTTAAAAATAAATAAGAAATTAAGTTATTTGATTACTTACAAAATTTTTTATAGCTGTTTATCTGTGTAAAAGAACAATGCAAAATAAAACGCGTTTAGAACTGGCAGATTATGAAGCGGAAAATTTGGCTCGTTTACAAAAAATGTTTTCCAGAAAGTGGGAGTTTATATTCATGCAGGCAGAAGCTCAAAGTAAAGTTGATAAAAAAAGAGATAAACTAGAAAGGAAAGTATTAGATAGTCAAGAGAGAGCATTTTGGGATGTTCACAGACCAATGGTAACAAAATAATAAAAATTATTACCAATTATAAATATATATTCAGAAATGATTTTAAAAATTTTATTTGAAATCTGCAGCCTGGATGTGTTAACACAACAGAGTCAGATATAAAAAAAGTCTGCAGGAAAATAACTAAAGTGGAAAGTAATCAAAGTGGAATAGATTCTCTGAAAAATCAAATTTTATTTCTTAAAAGTCGTTTGGATAGAAGAAATATTAAAGTTTCAAAAGTGGCTGAAGCGTAAGAAAATTATTAATTATTTTATATTATTTTAAGCTGCAGAAGTGTTACTTAAGTTATTAACATAATTTTTTAAGGCACATAAATTACCATGAGCAATATGCAGAGTATGACCCATTTTTCATGCCTCCTGAATTGAGTAATCCATGGATTTCTGATTGTCCAGATTTATGGGAGCAAGAAAAAAATATGTAATTTTTTTATTTATTTATTTTTTAGTTAATAATAAACTCAGTTAGTTATAATGAATGAAATACTTAAAATTATTATTATTGTAGTAAAGAATTGTCTGCAAGAAGAGTTAAAAGATGGGCATTTAGTTTGAAAGAATTGCTTCAAGATCCTGCTGGCCGTGATCACTTTCTGAGTTTTTTGGAAAAAGAATTTAGCGGAGAAAATTTAAAGTAAATTTTTAACTTCTTTCGACTAATTAGTACGTGTAAAAGTTAAAAAAGTTAAAGGAAAATTATTTTTGATTTTAAATTAGGTTTTGGGAAGCGGTACAGGAATTTCATACTTTGCCACAGAAAAAAGTTGCCGAAAGAGCGAAAGAAATTTGGGCAGAGTATCTTGCACCGGATGCAAGTTCGCAAGTTAATATAGACTGCAGATCATACAATCAAACTAAAAAAAATTTAGAAGATCCAAATAGGTGGAGTTTTGATGCTGCTGGTGTGAGTGTTTTAATGCTGTTGCATTAAGTTAATTTTTTCCGCTTTATCTTTCTTTATTCTTGCAACAGAAGTTTAAATTTGATAAGTTACATACGCCTACGCTGAAACATTTTATTTTTTAAGGCCTCTTTTTATATATATATATATATTATTTTTAAAATAATTAAAATTCTGATAAAATTTTACAGGCTCATTTATATGATTTAATGAAACAAGACACTTACCAAAGATATGTCCGTTCTGATTACTATAAAGATTTTTTAAACGGTACAAAAAAGAAGGTGAGAAAATTATCGATTTATTTCATCATTTTTTTTTTTTTTTTAAATAAATAAATTCACTAATAAAAAAAATTAATTTTCCAGACGTCAGTAAAAGGAATAAGATCGATCGTTTCATTTTCGGCAAGAAAAGATGTGCCAACGTGTTGATTAAACACACCATGCCCAATGTGACAAAAGTGTTTAATTATTTACATATATATATATATTATTCATTTGGTGGAACCATGATGGCTCATATGATGCAGTAGAAAAAATGATTTCTCGGCTTGCTTTTAATATTTAGAAAATTAGAATTTATTTAATACGAATATTAAAAAAAAAAAAATTTGTGCCGCGAAAGTGTCGGTGGGGAAAAATAAACGGATGCTTTTTTTTTTTTTTTTTTTTTTTTTTTTTTATTGAAAATAACTCGAATCCAGCTTTTTGGGGGAGTTTGGCAAATTGGCCATATATATAATATATATATTGAAGAAATATAAAAAAATAAAAAATCAATCACACAATTATATTAATTTACAATAAGATCTCATCATTCAGCTTCCATAAAATATTTTAACTATTTTTTTTTTCGGTGAATTTTTTTTTAATACTAAACTTATTATAAAATTCTACATAATAATAATAATAATTATTTTCTTAATATAACTGTGACGCGTTATTATTCATATTTTTACAGTTTGATAAGTGTATTTTATAAATAAAGTTTATACATATATATATATATTGGTTTATTAAATATTTTTAAATTTATTAAACAAAAAAAAAAAAAAAATTTATTAAATTAGGTTGTGCAAAAACCCGGTGTTTTGCCTGTTCCTTCATAATCATTTTATAATAATTATTATTATTATTATTTTTTGAGTTTAAATAAATAAAAGATTTTAATAATAATAATAATAATTTTTTTTTTTTTGTTTAAGCTTCAGGCAAAATTTTATTCAGGGGATGAATTATTTTTTCCTAGAATTAGAGCCTTAGGGGCTATATAAAATTTTATTCTTGTATCCCAAATGAATAGTGTGAGTACTTGTAGAAAATTGTTAATCATTAAAAAACTAATTAAAATTAAATATTAATTTTAATTTATTTTATTATTTTACCATATATATATATATACAGAAAAAAAAAGAAACGAATGTATTTATTTAGAAATTATTTTACTTTTATTATTATTATTATTATTATTATTATTTTTAACAATTGTGTATATTTTACTCATAAAATAATATCTATTAAATTTTTATTAATTGAAAAAATATTTATTTATTTATTTTTTTTTTTTTAAACTTTTATATATATATATAAAAAAAAAAATTATTTTTGTTTTTAATAAATGTATTGAATTATTATAAGTTTATAAATTTTTATTTATTATTCATGCGAGTCTGGGAATTATTAATTTCAAATTTTAAAAATTTAAATATTTCTAATATATATTAATTAATTAAATCCATAATTTTAACATTTTTCAATAAGTCACTTTAACAAAGAGCATAATTTTTGATAATTTCAATAGAACGAATCGAAAATAAAAATTCTTAAAGGATAAATTTAATAAAATTTGGACATTTAAATCAAAATTATATTTAAAAAATTTTTTGTTTACAAAATTTCAATTCAATATATCAAATCGATAATAAGACTTTTTAATAATCCGTTTTTTTTTTTTTTTTTTTTTAAATGACAAATTATACGTATTTAGTAAATTGAGCATCAATTATTGTATAATAATAATAATAATTTTTGGTATATTTATCAACCTTTTATAACTTGTTTTGCATTTCCGTTTAAAATACTGATAAACTTGCCAAAAAAATATAGGCAATTATTAAAAAAAATTGTTTTTCAAATTATAAACAAAATCATTTTGCAAACGGCTTATTAAAAAAAAAAAAAAAATGTAAAAAATTTCTTTTTTTTAAATAAATTCTTACGCCTACTCCTCCAAGTGACATTTTACAAAACATTTTACGTTTACATTTTTATTTAACTTTTTTTTTTTTCTTCTTCTTTTTTAATTTATTATTATTTTTCCTTTTCTTTTTCGGTCCGTTTGAATATTTTCTCGACTCAATCATTTCCCTTTTACGATTAAATTTCAATTCTCGTAAAATATTTTCGCTTGAAACGTTCAAAATTTGATTTCTCAAATCTTCGCTTATGAATTCTTTGGGTTTCCATTCTCTGACTATTTTTTGCGCTGTCGGAAAATTTTTCAAAATTAATAACACTTCGATAATTTTCAATTCCGACTCGTGTTTACCTACAAAAATTAATGTCAATTTAAAAAAAAAAATTATCACAATTAATATGAACAAAGTATTATAAACAACTCACATTTTCCTGATGACAATATTTCAGAGATTTCAAAAATGACCATCTCGAATATTTCTTTTCCCACGCTATCCAACATGGCTTCGTTTTTATTCAAATAAATCGGTATTATTATTTTAAATAAATCTAAAATTTTATGACAGGTTCCCTCCTCGCCGATCCAGTCTTTTAATTTCGATATTAATTTGGAAAATAAATTTTTTTTCAACCACACGAAATCCCTGTACTTAACAAGTAAAATAATCGACTTGATTACAACATTTTCGCCGTTGAAAAATAAATCCATAACTTTGATCGCGTGATTTTCAATCGTGTCATCCATGTTGAATTTGTAATAATTCATGAGGAGATGTTTCAACGCTAATAATTTTTTATGACGGTTACGATGAGGTCCTTTCGGCATGTGTAAGAAAATGTTGACTATTGTCAGTGCCAGAACATTGTTTCCCAGCTCGGATGCTTTGTGTAACATGATGGGCCACGTTTGCAGGGCGACGAAAAAAATTAGGCAAGATCTTTGATTCATTTCCATCATCGCCTGGTAGCAAAATTTCCACGCGGATTGTATGCTCTCGGTCGTGTTACGATTGACGCAAAGAGCCACGTAAAACCTGGAAGCCATTTCTACGGTTTCGTCGGGCCAAAGATATTGATTGAGAAATAATTTCTGTGATATTTTCGTCATCAATGCCGATATGACGTTTTCCGTTCTCGAATCTTGAGTTTTTAATACGGAAAGAATTATTATGAGTCGATGTTGAGTTTTCGTCAACGGTGGAATCGGCCTTTCGTTTATTTCTATTTCCTCATTGACATTTTCAAAAACTAAAGAAATTATAACTTTTTCAATGACGTCACTTTCACAATTTTTTAATACTGATATTAATTCGTTAACATTTTTATTCGCTTCTTCTTTCGTTGAATTCGTCGAAGAAATAAATTCCTCAATTTTTTTCTTTAAGAATTTTTCCATTATTGTCTTTTTATCTGTTGAAAAAACATGAAAAAATTATTAAAAAAAACAAATTTATATATTTATTTTTATAAAAATTTAATTTTTTTTTTTTACCGTTTTCTTTTTTTTCTTCCGTGTTTATAAATGAATTCCCATGGAAATTTCGGGATTCTGACTCCCCTTTTTTTTTATTGTTGTGTCCTCCTAAACTAACACAGTCGTACGTTCGTAAATTGGATTCTGATTCTGTATTGTTGTTTAAAGGAATTTGTTCGTGAGCATTATTTATTAAATTTACATTTTGTTCTTTTTTAAATGAATTTGATTTAAATTCTTGATTTTGAATTGACATGGCACAAATTATCGAATCCAAAAATCCTGACTGACAACTGTTCCCTGCACTTTCATTTGTTTTAATTTTTTTAATTTTATTTGAATTTAATCCGATCAAATGCCTTTTTTTTTCTAATTTTAACAAAGGATCATTAAATTGTTCATCGTTATTAAAATCAACCCTTGACTCGTGTAATTTACTAACGGAAATATTTTTATCCATCAATGAATCACACGTTGAATTACTCAAAGAAACTATTTTTTTTTTTTTCTCCAAATCTTTTATTGGAGACAACAGCCTTATTCTTTTCATTTCGATAAATATTTTCGACAAATCTTCTTCTCGATCATCTACATCAACAATTGTTGAATCCTCTGAAATTCTCGCACTAACTAACTCAAAATTTTGGTTTTCAGAAGGATTTGTTTTATTATCGAAATTTTTGTGATTTATATTTAACTCACTTAAATCTTCTCCTTTACTTTCGGATGATTTAAATGTAATATCACAAATTTCAGTGCTGTTATTAAGATTATAATTATTTTGACTGAACGACATGTTTGTTTTTAATTTTCCAGAATTTTCTATGACTGTTAAATTAGAATTTAATTCGTTTTTATCTTGATACATAGGTACATCAAAAATACTTTGACTAGAATGAAAAATTTTAGTTTCGGAATTAGACACAGAATTATTTTTATCAGAATTAATTTTATTACGTTTTATTTCTTCAGTGGATTCCAATTGGCTTTGGCAAATACTTTTAAACGTGTTTAAATTATCACAGTTCCTTTCTGAGGCTTTTGAAGGAGACATAATTTCTTCGTTTACTAAACTATGAGTACCTCTAATTATTTCAGAACAATCAGTATTTTTACTATCAATTTTCTCTAAAATTTGTTCACTTGTTTTAGATTTATCATCTGTAATTAATTGGTCATTATGAACATTCAAGTACTCAGTGTTTTTTTTCTTAATACCAAAATTTTTTTCTCGGCAGGCGACATTATTGGAATTTATCACAGATTGATTTATTAAATTTTTCATGCTATTTTCTGGTAAGGTTTCTGAACTGTTATTTTCATCGTCTGTTTCAAAAAAATTTTTTAATAATTTAATTTTACATTCTGTAGTAGTAAGCAAGCTGCTCTCAGAGTTTATTGTTTCACTATCAACTTTTTCAATTGTATCATTTTTCTCTTTTTCAAATACAACATTAGACTTTTTTTCAGAGATACATTTACTCTGATCAAATATTTCTTTATCGGTTACAGTAATAATTTCATTACTGTTTTCCTTAAAATTTTCCGGTGAAGTTTTCAGCATGCTTTTTAACGATTTTTCATCACTTGAAAACTCATCGACTTTGTTAAAAATATTATGGTGAGAACATTCATTAAAAGAAGGTAAATCTTTTTCTTTTTTTAAATCAGTTTTCAACTTATATTCAGACAAATTATCTCTAGGTGAATTGATAAAACTTTGCGGTTCAGAATTATCAACTTTAAAAACTTCCTTAAAATTAACATTTTTACCTTTAAGTAAATTTAATTTTTCATCGCTTAAATCTTTCCTAAATTTTCTTAATAATAAATTTGTGAGGTTTCCTAAAATAAACATAAAAATTTTTTATTAAAAAAAAATTGATTTTTAAAGTTGGTTTTAATCCGGGGAAAAAAAAAAAGTTTACTCACTAATGTTATTAGTTTTAACAGATTCACTAATTAACTGACAACAAATATCGAGTAAAATTTCCTTGTCTTTTTTTAACTCATAATTTGATTCATCTGTATAAAGACTTCTTTCACTTTTATAAATATTAATCAATCCTTTCATTTTTTCTTGGTCTTTAAAAGATTCTTCCAGGCAAGTCATTTTTTCTTTAACACTCTTTTCCAGTGATAATATAACTTTTTGTTGAGCCTCATATTTCTTAGTAAAAAGAAAAAAAAGAAAAAAAGAATTACTTACAATTTTGTTGATCATATACATATTTAAAATTACTGTACTAACCTTGCATAATTTAGAATAAAATTTTAAACATTTTTCTAAACTTTTTTTAACTTTTTTAGAATTTTCTATTTCTTTGCTGTAGGTTTCAAGAAGAGCACTATATCTCCCTTGCAAATCTTGATAATCTTCTAAAGAACAACTACAATAAAATGATAATATTTCATAAAAAAAATTTTTCAAAGGATTTTATTTCTGTAGGAATCCAAATTCTGATCTGATTTTTTAAAAATTTTAATTGCTATCAAGTTATGAAAATAAATAAATTTAAAACGTTATAAATAAAAAAATTATTATAAGCCTAAAACATTTAAAAATGTTTGGCACAACAAGATGAAAGTTATCTGTTAACCCAATGTGTTTTCAACAAAATAACCATTGATCAACTTAAAGGTAGTATAATTATTAATGATTTTGAAAAATAATAATTTACTTACTCAAGATTTAATAATTCTTCCCAAATGAAAGTATCATTTGGCCGATCGATCTGTAAAAATAATGAAATTTTTAAAAAAAATAAAAAACGTTGAGGAGTTAGACGAAAAGCCGAACAGTTATAATTAAAGTAAAAAGCCTATTTAATGTAATTAAATGGTGTAATATTTGTAAATCTCTTACTTCTTTACAAGTTTCCATAAAGAATTAATTTATATAATTTTCAATAAACACTTTCTTCAAAATTAACCGGCCTTATTAAAAAATAACCAAAACTTATCCCTCCATTTTTAAATCCTGGAATCTAAGCCCTCTATGAATGTAATTTACAAATTGTACATTGACACAGATAATTTATGTTGGCTAACCTGCAGATATGAAGTGCTAAACTAATTATGTATTTCGCAATATTAAATATGATAAAGTGTATGGTTTATTTGTGTTTTTTCTCCCATAATATTTGAGATTTTTAATTTAAAAGCATGTGTGCTAGAATTGAGCCTTGGCGTGAATGCGCCGATTGGTTAACACGTTGTGGAATTTTAAGAAGTGATCATATAGCAAACGGTGCAGAAGCCAAAGCTCGTGATTTAGCTGTTACTCTAAGAGACGGTGTTATTTTATGTAATTTACTGAATGATATTGAGCCGGGGTGTATTGATACAAAAGATGTTAGTCAGAAACCTCGGTTATCACAGGTATTTAGGGTGTTATATACCAAACAATATTTTACTGTACTCTAGTACAACTTTCTGTTTTGAAAACGCAATGTAATTTTTTTTTTTTTTTTATTGTATGATTAATAATGAACTGATCATTATTAATTAACTTTAATTAAACAAAAATTCATTGATTTATTCAATGTTGTAAATATCTTTGTTTTTTTAATGATTTGATTTTAAAATGTTACATTAAAACTTTTTATTTTTCAGTTTCTCTGCTTAAAAAATATAAAAGTTTTTCTGCAAACTTCACATGACACATTCGGTCTTAAAGAAAGTGATTTATTCGATCCAGTTGTTTTGTTTGATCTCACTGATTTTGTGAAGGTTTTACAAACTTTATCAAAACTCTCCCTCTCTCCTAAGTTTAAAAAAAAGAATATTAGGTATTTTTAAGCATTAGTTAATTATTCAAAAAATAAAATGTTTGCACTTATATCTAATTCAATTTCTATTAATTTTTTTTCAGTGGTTTTTCATTAATAAAACACAGATCATCTCATGATGAATTATATAAGGACTTGAGTGCCAGGTAGTTATAATTATATCATTATTTATTTATTTTATTTTTAAGATGTTTTCATTGAATTTCATAATGATTTATCAACAAGCAAAGCTATTTTTTATTAATTACTTTATGTTATAAATTATTACTACCTGATCTGTATCTAATTATTATTATTTTGTAAATAATTTTAAAGTCAAAACCAAATTTATATTTTTATTTTTAAGCACTTGTAAATAGTATATATTAAAATTCATAATATTTGTAAAAGTATAATTCTAAGAGGTTTTTCTATAATTAGTTGTTTGAATTGTTTTTAAATAATTTATCTAAAGAATATTAATCTTCTTTTAGTATTAATTCCAATGATTGGATGAAATTTACCATAAGATGTTCTGATTATCATGATGAAGAGATCTATGAAGATCTCTGCTATATATCTTTTACATTCCCTCCACAGGTACATATAGCAGGATTTATATATACATATATTAAAAATAATTATTTATGTACTTGAATTTTGTTTATTTGAGTTTGTTAGTTTTTTTGTGGAAGTTTTTTTTTTTTTTTTTTATATTTTTTTAACATAAGCATTCACATAATATTATTTATAAAATTATTAATTTCTAAATTTGATTACTTGAAAAAAAATCACATGTATAGCTTTTTTTTTTTTGTACTATTATCGATTCTTGGAAAATTTTTTAAAATGTGAATGCTTGATGTTAAGTTTGTTTTAGTTTGTATTGAAAAACAGGGAACATGATTAATTTTTTTTTTTTTTTTTTTAAAGTAATATTTAGTTTGGAGAAGTTAATTAGAGTTAAATGATAAACTTATATTCATACTTTTCTTTCCCGGTTTTTCCAAAATTTTATATTTTTTACTTTAGTTTAATTTTTTTTGATTTATTGGTTTTAATTTAATTTTTAATTTTTAATAATGCTTTTTAGTGTTGCTTATTAGAAATGGGCCTCATTAAACAATTAATTTTTTTTTTTTTTTTTACATTCTTTTAGTTACTTTACATTTTTAATTTAAAATCGTTTTATATATTGCTCAAACAATTGATTTAAAATAAAAAATTTTATGTAAAACTAAAATGAAAATCTTGAAAGATTTTGTATGATTATGATTAATAAGGATATCATTGTTTTTATTTTTTTTACCTTTAATATAGCAATATTGATTTCCTTATTAATCGAATCGATTAATTAAAAAAAATTTTTTTTTTTTTTTTTTATTGCACTGTTTTCGCAATTAGAGCACTTTAGTTGTTTGTGTATGTTTAGATTTTTGTTATATATAATTTTATAGCAGTGACACAGTACATTCTAATGTATTGCGTGCTGAAGATGCAGAATATAGCAGTCATCATGTTAATATGCGAAATGAAGAAATTTACCATGATTTGTGCTCGATTAATAGAATATCATTACAACAGGTAAGTTTTTTTTTCTTTTGTTTTCCTTCTTGTCATCAGGAAGTAAATGAACAAACTTATACTTACCTGTCCTTTTTAATTCAATAATTATTATAAACTATATTTTTTATTTTTTTATTCAGATACCATCAGCGTTACCTGCCAGTTTAGAAAAACGAGATTATGTTATTAACGAACTAATCGAAACCGAAAGAAATTATTTGGACGTTTTAGGAGGTTTGCAACGAAGTTTTATGCGTCCTCTAGCATCCATTATTAGAGAAGAAGATTTTAAAATAATTTTTGCTCATATTAAGGTAATTGTGAATTTTTAAATAAATTATTATTATTATTATTATTATTGATTTTTTAAATTTTTTCTAATGGTTATCACAATTAGGAATTGTATGAAATCCACGGCGTGTTTTTGACTCAACTTAGAAAAGCTGCTTCCCCTCATGGGAAAATTCGTTTAAGTGAAGTTTTTTTAAGCTTCAGGGAAAAGTTTTTAATTTATGGAGATTACATAGCCAATTTAACGAATGCGCAAAATCTTATTCAGGATTTATGCGGAAGAAGTGAAATGATAAATAATGAAGTCGAGGTGAGTTGATTTGAAAATGTGTAAATTAACTTACTCGAAGAATGAAATTAATTGAATGAAACCTGACAAAAAATTGACACAAAAAGAATTATTTTATTGTTTTATTTATTTAGTAATTGTTGTATCGAAAAACAATTTTTATTTTAGAATTGTCAGCAAGAAGCAAATAATGGAAAATTTAAATTAAGAGATATTTTATCTGTACCAATGCAACGAATATTGAAATATCATTTATTGTTGGATAAGTTAGTTAGTGAAACGCAAATGGTAACTTTAGATTTTACCTTTTTTTTTTAATTTTTATTCATTTTTCACGTTCTCACTAATATTTTTGATACATTTTATTTGGTTTAATACTGTTATATTAATGCCAAGTTAAATTTTTTAGAATCATGAAGATTACAGAGGATTAGAGAGAGCTAAAGAAGCCATGGTTGATGTTGCTCAATACATTAATGAAGTCAAAAGAGACAGCGATGCTTTAGCTATTCTTGCCTACATTGAACAAAGCATTTCGGACTGGCATATGCCACCGGATTTTACATTAAAAGACTACGGTCGATTAATTTTAGACGGGGAATTAAGAATTAAAGCTCACAATGATCAAAAACAAAAAGTCCGATATGTTTTTGTGTTTGATCGCGTGATGGTCATGTGCAAAGCATTGAAGGTAAAGCAGAAGAATAAATTTAGACAATTTTGGTGGTCGCTGAGCTTTAAACGCTAAAAATCCTTTATCGTGATTATATTTTAGGGCGATCAATACTGTTATAGAGAATCTCTTAGGTTAGATGAATATAAAATACAAGATATTGAAAAAAAAATTTTAACAAGGGATGCAAGGTGGAGTTATCAATGGTATTTAGTTCACAGAGCGGAACTTACTGCTTACACTTGTTACTCTCGCACTGAAGAATTTAAAAAGAAATTCATGAATGCTATATCTGAAGCTCTGTAAGTTTTATAAATCGTTCTTCCTTTCGTTACGTATGAAAATGTTGCAAAATGGTGTTTAATAATTTGTTATTACAGAGACAACATCGAACCTTCCGTTTGCCGAAACACGGAACATAATTTTAAAATGTTTACGTTTGAATCTCCGACCACGTGCAGTCACTGCAGTAAATTTTTAAAAGGGAAAATCTATCAGGGATACCAGTGTGAAAAATGTCACATTAATTGTCATAAAATATGCATTCCGTACTGCGGCCGTTGCGGATCCACAAAAGTACCTCAACTTCCTCCTCCTCGTTTACAGTCTTCCTTTAATTCCAATCGTTCCATCACTCCTCCGATGCGCCACCCTCCACCTTCCCCAATTACCAACTACGACAACTTGAGTTTTAACGAGTTGAAAGATTGTTTGTGGTTCGTGGGCGAAATGGGAAGGAAAACTGCAACGAGCCTTTTAGAAAACGAAATGGATGGCACGTACCTGTTAAGGATTCGGCCTCAACGTCCAACAAATCCGTCGGAAACAATATACGCCATAAGTTTAAAGTATGCATCATTCGTGCAAGTCGTGAATCGGTTAATTCGATGGAAAAACAATTAAATTTTTTTGCGGATTTATTTTTCAGAACTAATGAAAAAGTTAAACACATGAAGGTTTACGAAGAAAATGTCGAAGGAACTCTATCGTATTATTTATCACTGTCTCGTTTTTTCAAATCCATCATCGAATTAATAACTTATTATCAGCACGTTAGTTTAGAAGAGAATTTCGTCGGGTAAATAATAATAATTGGCTAATGATGTATTTCATACAAATTTAAATAAATAATTAAATTTAAAAAAAAAAAAAAAAATTTTTCTTTTAGATTGGACGTAAAGTTACAATGGCCCTTTTCAAAAAATTTAACGTTTACAAATGAAATGGATTTTAGTACGGCCGAATCGAATCGATTACTTCCAAGAGCGGATTGTAGGGTTTAGTATTTAAAATTTTGGAATTTGAAATGTATTAATTATTAAAATATGTTTAAAAAAAAAAAATCGATGCACAAATTTATATATAGGTTTTAATTAAATTGATAAATAAATGTACTCGTGATTTTTTTTTTTTTAATCTTTGCCTCGGACTGAAAATTTAATTTTTTTTTTTTTTTTATTGAAAATCAAAAAAAAAAATGCTTTATGTGTACTCTCCGGGATGATGTACTTTTATTTTGAAATATCATTTTAAATAACGATAAATTAATTTTTTTAATTTTCATTTAAAAAAAAAAAAAGATGGTTAAATAGCATTTAAAATATATAATATTTAAGAATAGTTTGTTTTTTTTTTTTTTTATGTAGAAAGTTATGGATAAGTTAAAAAGTAATGATTGATTTAGAATTGTAAACAACGCACTACACTTAATTTAAAATTTATTTGTTTTTTTATATATATTTTAAAATAAATAAGAAATTGGCCAAAAAAAATTTTTAATTATAAAATTAAATGTTAACTGCCAAAATTTTAAAAAATTATAGAAAATTGTTTTTTAATGTTTTTATATAGTGTCTTTTAGCTTTTTAACATTTTTTTTTTTTTTATTTATTTATTTACTCATACATGATTTTAACGCGTGTTGTATTGCATTGTTGTTGATTTTGTCAATTTTTCTCACACAACAAAATTTATATTTATTACTGCTTGAAGCAGTATTTAAAGTTAATAAAAAAAAAAAAATATTGTTAAATTGTACATATTTGCTTTATGTAAAAATAATGATGAGATATTTTTAAATTTTAAATTTTGTGAGAAAATATTACAAAAAAATTTAATTTTTTTTGTAACTTTTAAATTTTAGTCTAGTTATATGTTATGGCAATTTATTTATAAAAAAAAAAAAAAATTATTATTATTATTATTTTATCTGTTGTAATTAAGTAAAATAAAATTTAAATGATTTTTAATATGCTTTCAATTTATTTTAACATTATGTACTTGTTGTTGGGCTTTGGTAATAACATTTAGTTATTGAAAAATGACATTAAAAATTTTTAAAATTATTATTTTATTCCAAAAATTATGCAAATTATTCAAAAGTAAAATTTAGGTTTCTCTCTCTTCAAACAAAAAAAATTTTGGCTCATTTTATTAATAAATATTTTAAGATTATTTAATAAATTAAATAAAATTCGTATTGAATATTTAAATATGACAGAGATAAAATTTTCATTTAAAGAATTTTAATGCTGTAGAATTAAAAAAAGATTTTTTTTTTTATGTATTATTTTTTTAGTATATGTTAAAGCTTATCTTAATGCTAAACACTCGAACTCGAGGTTGATCGAGGTGGTCATCGCCGCCATATTGAAATAATGGCCTGACATTTATTATTATTGTTATTTAAAATGGGAGCAAAGAAAATATTTAAATAACAATGAAGAGCTTAATTTTTGTGACTTGAACAATTACTTAAAGTGATGGAAATTTCTAACACAGATCATCAGTCGTTTTTAGCTTCAGGTATTATGAATTTTTGTTGAGAAATTTCGTAAACAAACTTTACTTAACTAGAAGTTATTGCTTATCTTTAACTTGTAATTTTTTTCAGAACTTTATTTTTTGATTGCTAAGTTTTTAAGTGGAGGACCATGTACTAAGGCATTAGAAGTAAGTAAATGTTGTATTAAATTTAGTTTAACCGCCTCTTAATTCTAAAAAAAATTTTTCTATAAATGAGCAACAGTTAAGAAATTCCCTTTGAAATTTTTCTCTTTAGAATCTTATTTGTATACTGATTGGTTATGTCAAATAAATTTTAAATCCTCTTAAATTTACATTAAATTAAAAGGAAATTTTAATTAAATGGTTTCACTATGGATTTACTGGTACCAGTGGTTTTATTTCTAATAAATTTTTTGTTTAATGTATCACATCATTTTCAGGCTCTAACTGAAGAATTGGAATATAATAAGTTATTACCACCAAGATATGATTGGAAAGGAAATAAATTTCCCCAATCGTTCAGTCAATTGGTAAGATAATAAATTAAGTAAAATAATGTCGAAACTGGTTAATATTTTTAATAATTATTGTTTGAATTTTTTTAGTCTGTAAACTATCCGCATATTGGTCCAGATCATTTATTAGCAATATGCAACAGAATTTGTCCAATTTTGGATAAAGAGTTTCCTCCCAGTGTGCCAGGAATTGTATCTTTACTAGGAGCTAGTAGGCAAAGTTTATTAAGAATCTCATCTGTTCCACATTCGATTCCTGTATCTCGTTATTCAGCTAGACGAAATGGCAAACCTTGTTCTGATGCAGCAGATTTTAAATCAGTTCATCATATGGGTAACATAACATAGTTTATCGATTTTCATTTATTATTAAAGCACAATGCACATAATTAACCAAGACATCCCTGCATGCATTTTATTTATATCTAAATATATAATTGCATTTGTTTTCTTTTTTAATAAAAAATTTAAAAACATGCCAAATTTTCTAATTTGTTACAATTATTAATTTGATATTTTTATAATTATTTTAAGAAGTAATTTTCAATTTTTTAGTTCGATTATTGGAAGGGCGCCGAAATTCAGGACCTTTTACCAGAAAACAAGCAATGCAAACAAATTTTTTTAGCCACTTACAACTTCATAATCGTACTTTGGGTCATTTATCTGCAGTATACTGTCTTTTGTTTGATAGAACTGGTCAATTTGTTTTTACAGTATGTTGAATTCCATAATCCTCTCAAAAAATTTTATATTATTAGGTCAAAAAAATTTGCATAAAATAATTTTTTTTAGGGAGCAGATGATTTGCTAGTAAAAGTGTGGAGTACAATAAGTGGTAGATTACTAGCAACTCTTAGAGGAGCATCATCGGAAATTACAGATATGGCTGTTAATGTAGAAAATACATTGCTGGCAGCTGGAAGTTTAGATAGAGTGCTCAGAGTTTGGTGCCTACAAAGTACTGCTCCTGTGGCAGTTTTACTTGGACACACAGGAATGATTACAGGTATGGTTGTAATGAAAGTTTTGAATGTTTTTCAAAAGCCAACTTTAATTTTTTAGAAAAATTTTTCACACGAAAAAATATGTCTTTGATATATGTATATTTAATATTTATTTTAGGTGTCAATTTTTGTCCTGGGGCTTCGGGAGATTTGAGATATTTAACATCTACAAGCACAGACGGTTCTGTTGCTTTTTGGGTGTACAATCATCACCCGATTGGACAAGAAACCACTTTTCAGTAAGTAAATAATTTTTAACATCATTTATGATTTTTAATTATTGTATTTAATTTAAAGGTTAAATTTTTTAGAGGTCGTCCTGTAATTTATAATGAAAAAATGCGGCCAGGAGGAGCTCAAATGATTTGTTCATCATTTAGTCCAGGAGGTAGTTTTTTAGCTGCCGGAAGTGGTGATCATCATGTTAGGTATGTGAATTATTTTAGGTTATTACATTTTGAATGTAGAGATAATGTTTTTTTTTTTTTCTTCTATTAACTTTTAAAACTTATTTAAGAATATACAATATGAATGGAAGTGAGGGACCTACCAGAATATTTGAAATAGAAGCTCACTCTGATAGAGTCGACTCAATTCAATGGGCTCATAAAGGTTTAAGATTTGTTTCCGGCTCAAAAGATGGAACTGCATTAGTTTGGCAGTTTAGACGCCAGAAATGGGTAAATTTGCGCCTTGAAATGACTACAAAGTTACCAGGGTGAGTTTTTAAAATAACATATTCAAAACTTTTATATTTAAGTTATTTCCCTTTTAATAATTTTCTAAAATATTTTTACTCTTCATTTAACCGTATCACATTATTACAAAAATTTTTTTCTTTTGATAACATTAATATTAATTGTATTTGTATGCTTTCCTGAATTTATTTAATAGGGCTCCTGTTACTGAAGAAGATGGAAAGTTAAAGCCCAGGGTTTCGATGGTTTGTTGGGATAGATCAGATAAATACATAGTAACAGCTGTGCATGACGCTACATTTAAAGTATGGGATTCACACTCAGGTAATTAAATATAAAATTAATATTTCAATAAAGTCCTAACCATAGTTCAAGATTTAAAGGTTTTTTTCAAAATAATTTTTCTTTCTCTTAGCAGAATTATATATTTAGCTTTATATAATTACAGGGAAATTAATTCACATTTTAAAAGCACATCGAGATGAAGTGTTTGTGTTAGAAGCTCATCCTTTTGATCCCAGTATAATGTTGAGTGCCGGTCATGATGGATTAATATGTGTTTGGGATATCACTCGTGGAATTGATTTAATGCAATATCAAAACAGTATAGATGGTCAAGGACACGGTGCAGTCTTTGATGCCAAATGGTCTCCTGATGGAACCATGTTTGCAGCCACAGACTCTCATGGGCACATATTAGTTTTTGGCTTTGGTTCTGGTAGCGACAAATTAAAAAAGGTGAAGCACAAGATTTAAATACAAATATAATTTATACATTTTTATTAAATAAGGGTGTACAAATGACGAATTGTTGGTTTTTGTTAATAGTTACCTCGGGAACTATTTTTCCACACGGATTATAGGCCTCTTGTGAGAGATGCTAATCTTGGTGTTCTAGACGAGCAAACTCAAACAGCTCCTCATTTAATGCCCCCTCCTTTTTTAGTAGATGTTGACGGATGCCCCTACTCACCAGATCTTCAAAAATTGGTGCCAGGAAGGGAAGATTGTAAAGTAAGTGTATTTTCGAATTAGATTGTAAAGTAATATTTTAAATATTTATTTTATGTTATACTCTAAACAAGCTTTTTCAACTTTTTTGTTTATCAATCAATCAATGTTTTATTATTTTCATATAATTTGTTGCACATTTAAAAAAATTTAAATTTTTTTATTTTTAGATTGAACAACTTGTGCCTAACGTTGCTTTTGGTAATGAAGGGCAGCAAGAAGTTTTAGAAGGATTACCAAGTGAGCCCCCTAGATCTAATATAGATCACATGATTCAAGCTTTAGTAAATCGTCAGTATGGTCAGTCAAATTTAAGGCAATCTTCTTTCGGTTAGAATCTTTTTTTTTTTTTTTATAGAGTTCAATTTTTTTTTCAAAAAACATTTCTTAAATTAATTTAAAATTTTAGGAAGTTCTCGATCTGTACGTAGGGATGGAGAAGGTGTTAGATTTTCAAGCGGTGATTGGGAAAGTGGTTCTTGCATGACATGGAAAGCAAGAACTTTATTAAAGCCCTTGCCTCCAAGAATTCTTGAACAAACAAGACTGAAACTGTGAGAATAAATTTAAATGACAATGAATTAATTTTTTTTTTTAATTCAAGATTTTAACATACCTTTTTTTTTTTTTATAGTGATGCAATAGCTGCCGAAGAAATGGATGAGTTTAATAAGGAAAGTCGACTTAGAGAAGAAACTCCACCCAAACCTGTGTTAGATGATCGACCAAAAAGAAAGGGGAGGCGCAGAGGAGCCTATCAAACACGTGCAACCAGAGAAGAGAATATAATAGAGGTTATACTGAATTTAATTTTTATTTTATTTAAGTATTTAAAATTTTTTTTTTTTTACGTAATTTTTATTCATTGTAATTTTACTTGCCTTTAGAATTCAGAAAATGTTAGTCTATCTGCTTCGACATCAACTTCTTCCATGTCAGATTCTTTCGCCAATTCAGATTTGGGATCAGAATCAGATTCAGACGAAAATTCGGAATATTCTGATTGGATTGCCGATCACGGAGTTTCATTAGAACCCCCTAAAAGATCAAAAAGAAAACGTGTACCACGAAAAATTTCTCCTTCTCCATCTCCTCCTCCCAGAAGGAAAGCTAAAGACACTAAAGAACCAAATCCACCGCCGGTTAGTATAAACGTTTTTTATTAATGTATCGCATTTATTGATGAATGAGGAATTTTACACATGTAATTTTTTTTTAGGGAATCAATGGTGTTGGAGAGGTTCCATTTGAATTTCAACCTCCAAAGTGGTTGTCTGAAGTTGTGCCTCGAAAAGCTCCTTATTACCCTCAAATGGGAGACGAAATTATGTTTTTTTATCAGGGTTATATTTATTATTTAGAAGCCGTCCGAGCAAAACAAGTGTATAAAATAGCTGGGCGACAAGGTCTTTCAAAACTCAAGCTCCCGGAACCTGTTTTAGTTAAAGTAAATACCGAATGTTTTCTACAACCTTATTTTTACCCGAATAAATTATTTATAAAACTCAAAAGTGAACCTTATTATTATTATTATTATTTAATTTTTTATAGGTAGTGGGAATAAAATATGAAATCAGACCTCCACGGCTGTGCTGTCTTCGACTGGCGGTTTTAAATGATTCCGGCTCATTATCTGATTCTAGGGAATTTTTTAATATAAAATATCATGATATGCCTGACGTTATTGATTTTTTAGTGTTAAAACAAACGTACGACACTGCCATTCAGAGAAATTGGAAGCCAGGTAAATTTATTTTTTTTTTTTTTTAAATTTCATATTTTCAAATATCAAAAAAATTAGGCTCTTATAATGGTTTAATTTTTTTATTTATTATTATTTTTTAGGAGACAGGTTTAGATGTATGATAGAAGATTCGTGGTGGGAAGGAAAAGTAGTTGCGAAAAGGCCTCACGATCCCGCAGCACCCGAAAGTCCCTTTTTATCATTTATGACACGTTGGGACAACGGTGAGGACGAACCCATGAGTCCGTGGGACATGGAGCCACCTGATCCTTCTCATCCGCCACTAGAGCCCGGCGCTTCAGTACCTGTTCTTCCGGAAGAAACTCAAGCACTATTGTACTGCCCTCGTTCAGACGAATGGCCTAATGGAGATAGAGATGCCACTTGCCGTAGAATTATCGTCGGACTAAATAAAGTCATGAACCTTGCTATCGCCGAGCCTTTTATCGCTCCCGTCGATCTTAATCATTATCCGTCGTATGCAATGTCCGTAGAATATCCCATTGATCTCTCGACCATTAAGGTAAGTAAGAGTCACTTTAATAATTTCACGTTAATTTTACAAGTAAAATAAACATATATACTATATGAATGGAAAAATTTTTATTTTAGGCACGATTGGAAAATCGTTTTTACCGAAGGTTAACGGCAGTTCAATTTGATGTTCGATATTTGGCAACCAATGCGGAAAAGTTTAACGAAGCTCACAGTCAAATTGTTAAACACGCTAGAATAATTACGGATTTGTGCATGCGAATCATTTCGTAAGTTTTAAACAAAAAAAAAAAAAAAAAAAAAAAAAAGTATTATTATTATTATTATTTATATTATTTAATGAACTTAATAATTATTCGAGTCCGTATAAAAATTTTTTTAATTAAAAAAAACAGAGACAGAGTGGAAACCGACGTGGGGGCTGTTTATCATCAATTGACGGATACTTATTATTCATCACCGAGTGAAGCCGAAAGTGATCACGACATAGATCGTCCCGGGCCTAGTGGTAGTAGTAGTAATAAAAAACCTGTTTTCGATTGGAAAGTAGCCTGTGAAAAATTATTGAGAGAAATGTGGGATCGATCGGATTCTTTTCCCTTTCGACAACCTGTTGATATTACGGAGCATCCAGATTATTTAAAGGTAAAGACTTGATTTTTGTTGTTGTTGGTTGCTTAGCATATTTTTTAAATTAAATTATTATTTTTCGTTTTAATCAAAAGGTGATAGAATGTCCCATGGATTTGGGTACCGTCAAAGAAGAGCTTCAAGCAGGAAATTACCATTCTCCGAAAGATTTTTATAAAGATATTCGTTTAATATTTGCTAATTCCAAAAATTACAACACTAATAAAAGATCTAGGGTAACTTATTTTAAACCCTTTTTTTTTTTTTTTTTTTTTTTTTTTTTTTGGGGGGGGGGAAATGTATAGAAATTCATGGACGTGACACAATATTTTATTTTAGATTTTTTCAATGACCGTTAGATTATCAAACATGTTCGAGGATAGAATGAAGCAAATAATGTTTCAATGGAAAACTAAAAGACGGAAAATGGCACTCGAAGAATTAAGGTCTCAAAAATTGAAGGCACAATCAAAGGATTTGAGTCGTCCCGGACCTTCCAAAGAAAACGGTTTTTCAGAATCCGATATAGAATCTGAAGATCCCGTTGATGAACATTTGAAATTATCAACCCTAAGAAACACTTATTTAAAACAAAATGGTGGGTGCCATAAATCGAATTTGAATTTCGAATTTTTTTTTTTTATTATTTATTTATTTTTTCCATTCTTGCATTGCATTTTGTGTTTTAGAAGCTCAAATGAACGGTCATTCGTATGCTAAAAATAATCATAATAATAATAATTCTAATAATAAAGAAACCTCAAAGAAAAAACTACGCGATAGTGATTTTTCAAACAGTTCTAGCTCTGAAGAAGAAAGTTCTGATGATACATATAAGCCAAATGGAACGGTAAAAAAATTTTTCTGCTGTGCTATTTTTAATAATTATATTTGTAGTCGTATTTGTTTAATCGCAATTCACGATTCACTCTTAATTTTATTGTTAATTAGTTACGCACAAGAAACAGAGGAAAGCAAAGTATTCAGTATAAAGATCATTCGTATGAAAGTTCTGAAGAATCGGACGGTAGTAGTGATAGTAGCAGTCCAATAATACGAAGGTTAGATGATTTGAAAACAAAACGAAAAGGGATTTTAATCCCCCTACAATTATGCGTAAAAATTTATTTATTTTTGTTTTTGTTTTTTTTTTTCTTTTAGAAGGGGGAAAAAAAGACAAAGAAACAGTAATAAATCAGATAACAGCGAAACAAGTACAATTCGACAGACAAGGTCGAGTAAAGTTCGAAAAAGAAATGCTATTGAAAGTGATAGTCCTTATACAACAAATTCAGAAAATAACGAGGATAGCTCAAGTTCTACAGTTGGTACGCCTTCTTACACTGTCAGCAGTCGCGGTAGAGTTCGAAAATTGACAGAAAGAGCTCGAGCCCTGCTTAATAAAGACTGATTTTTGCTTTCTAAATTTTTCAAAATGGCGTCCTAAGGCCCGATGTTACATGTACGAATCACGTTCGAAGAACTTTATTTATATATATATATATATAGTATTTATATAGAATGACTTGTTGTTAAAAAAAATAAGTCATCATAGTTGAGATCAAATCAATCAATCAATTCAATAATTTTTTCTGATAATTTTAATAATAATAATTAAATTACTCAAAAATTTATACGATGGTAAATAATATGTACTAAGTAAATTGCAAAAATGCACTCTATATGGCATAAAATATCAATGAAATAAATAGTTTAATGAATTAAATTTTATATTAAGGTCTCATTTTTTCTCTCTCTCTCTCTATTTTAGATGGAGGAATCAAAAAAGAAAAGGGAAATCATTATTAATTTAAAATCGTGGAAAAGGATAAAAGTAATATTATTATTATTATTATTTAATTTTTTTTAAAATTCTTTTATTTAAAAAAATATCAATAAAAAAAAATTATTTGTATTTTTGAATTTTTACACAATTAGGGACCATAGCTTATATAATTTATCATCTTTTAATTTGGCTATCGAGTTTTGTGGTCTTTCAAAAGTTAGGCTTGGCTTATCCGTTTTCTTTTTACATTCTGTTTTGAATATCTGTAAAATATTTACAATAACTTGATATTTAAAATTTTATTAAAAATTAATGTTTAATTAATAATATTGGGTTATCGAGAAGCTTATAATACATTGTTAAGACTTACCTTTTCATAATTATTACTTAAAACATCACTTAAATCAAATTCGATTGATGGTAAATTAAAGTCGATAAATTTAGCAGCAGAAGACACACTTGGCAAACAGTGATTTTTTAACAAAACAATTTCCCAAAGACAACTCGATGTGGCACATGTTTTTGTAGGATCATTTTCATTAGCAATGAAAGGATCCTCGGAAACTGAAAAATAAAAAACACAATCGTAATTTAAAATGATTTTTTATTATAGGATTACACTTTGTCAATTTTAAGAATTTGAAAAGTTATTTGGCAGTACCTTCAGTTACATCAGGATGATTTACAAGACGTTTCAGTCCAGGATGCCTTATCATCAAATTACTTATAAATTTTAACATCATAATTATATCTGGTGCAGCACTGATCAAACTTAAACGAGCAACTCGTTTAATAAAAGAAGCGACAATAGATTCAGGTAAGCATCTTTAAATATACATTTTTTATTAAAAAAAAAAAAAAAAAAAAGGATCAGCATATTAGTGATTTAAGAATTTTAAGTAAGAAAAAAGTCTTACATTGATGATAGAAAAATATCAGCCAAAAAAAACAATCTTGATTTATATTTTTTGTGTAAAATATCCGGTTCGAACATAGTGTACAACTTTCCATAAATATTCGGGTATTCTCTGTGAAAATACAAAAATTAGTTATAGTTATTTAATTATAATATTTATGAGTAATTCATTGCAACTCACATATTAGATCTCTGCATTAGCTTTGACATTCCTTCAAGTGCTAAAATACTAATAATTCCCTTAATATTCATTGATCCCATTAAAAAATCAGTTAAGAAAACTGCATTATCTATTCTATTTATATATGTTTCCATCAACAAAAATAATACTTTTTTATGAATATCAGGCGATTTAAAATCTCTATTTATTAACGATTGCCATACTTTTCCAATATATTTATTTAACAATAAATCGTCTAAAACAAATTTTTCTTTACCTAAAAGAAATTCATAAAAAAAAATTTTGTAAAAAAAATTAGTAAATAAAGCAAAAAAGGCATTTTTAAATGAAAATGAACATGTTTAAGTACAATCTAATCCCAGGCTGTATTCTTTTGAATCACATTTTGAAGGTGAAATTTTTTCTAACAATTCGATAACATTTTGGGCATAAATATCGTTACTGTTTTTGATATTAATATAATTTTTAGCTAGCAATTTCCACGTGTAAAAAAGTACGTCCGAATGTATTATTATATCATCAAATTTTTGAATAATTTTTGATGTCCTATTTGATGAAGACAAAACTGAATTCAATAATTCCTGTAAATAAACAATGTAAAAATTTTTTAAGTGCGGATTCGGAGGTTATTAATAAAATATACTAAAACTCGTTTTATTATTAGTGAAGTTTTATTTATAACAAAATAATTTTAGTTTTTGAAGTGATTAACATGACAGTAGTTAATAACAACATATATAACGACATTTGTAAGTATTAAATTTTAATATCTTACTTTTAACTTGACGAGTGAAATTTTTTTGCTTTTGTCCACCACCATCGTTTAAAACCATATAATATAATAATAATAATATTAAAGGATTAATAATTAAATAATTTATAACGGATAAAAGATTTCATTAAATGGTTGAATATGTACCCAATACATATACACGTGGGGGAATAATATTTTGAATATGAACTGGTTAAATCATCGGTTTTTTTCGGTAAGATTCGTTTTCTTTCGTATTTCTATTTTTAAAATAATATATGCCATTCTATTTTTGACTAACATAATTAAATATCCAATACAAATTTTAGTTTTAGTAAATAATTAGTTTAATTTAATAGGATAAGTAAATACTATTCGATTATAAATATTAAGAGGTATCTATCTAGAAAAGAGTTAGTTAGTTAGTTTTTTTAAAAATATAATTTAAATAAAAAATCAAACTTTTAAAATATAAGTATAGACTCGAAAATTACTTTTTACTTAAATATTTAACTCGGGTGAGATCAAATTTTCAATTCGGTTTTTCTTTTCTTTGATTAAAAAATTACTTTACATTACTTTAAATGTGTATATATTGTTTTTATTAAGATAAATTTTAAATATATAATTAAATTTTTTCCAATACAAACAACTGAAAATGAAAATGTTTCAAAAAAAAAATCTATTTATTATAATTTTTTTTTTTTTTGTTCAGTCTACATTTCAATATTTCAGTACCATACTATAAATACTAGCTTTTTAATAAAAATGAAAGAAATATTATTCCATATCATCTCCATATTTATTTTTCTTCCTTACAAAATTGGATTCATAACTTTTCTCTGGTATTTTTTCAGTCGATGATTCCGATAAATTTTTTTCCCTGCATTAATAAAATTAAATTAAGGTGTTGCAAAAATACTAAATTATAATTTTTCATTATATTTCAAATATTTAATATTAAGTGGAAAAAAATGATTTCTATCATACTATATACCTTTGAGGAGAATTATAATTAGTGTATGGCAATACTTTATTTCTAAAATAATTCTCTCTGTTTTTTCTTCTTAATTCTTCATAAGTCATTTCTAACGGTTTCGATGTATCATTTTTTTCACCAGATAGTGTTTCTAAAAAATTCATGAATGATTTTGTAATTTAAATTAGATAAAGTAATTTCAAAAAGTCTTTAACATTTTTTTTTATAAAAGAATATTTTTTAAGATAATAAATTTAAAATTTACCATCATATTTTATATTTTCAACAAATGAAGAATTTACATCTATATTTAAATGAGAGAAATCACTATCCAAACCCTCAAACTTTGGATCCAAATTACTTTGTGAACTTGTTGCGTCTCTATAAAAACAATAGGATTACGTTATAAAAATATAGGCGAAACTTACTACAAAATCTCACTATTATGTATTCAAATATTTACTCGAAGGTGCTGGTAGTCCCTTTAGAAAAAAAGGGACCATCTGCCCCTAATTCCTGTCTTTTTTTTTCCTTTGCCAAAACGGATTGTTGAAGTTTAGAATAACAAACTGGTGAATAAAACACTGATCCGAAAAAGCAATTAATTCCAAACAGAGTAACTTTTTTTAAAATAGAAGAAGAGTTTAAAGCACTGTAAGAACCTAAATAAATAAAACAATTGTTTCAAATCCAAATCAGGGTTTTATTAAAAAAAAAAAAAAAAATTAAATTTCTGAATGGCAAACCTTTATTACGAACGTAATTAATATACTGCATTATAGCTGCAAAAGGTACTCCAACTTTGTAAAAACCAGATCTCATGCAATCGTTCCATTCTTTAATATCCTCGGGAGTTAATTCCTAAAATTGTCGAAAAAAAAAAAAATGTAAATACGAGGTTAATTGAACTAAAGTAAATAAAATTATTATTTAATATACTTACGCGAACTTGCCTTTGATGGGGATATCTTTGATCCAACGTATTATAAGGTTGGGGCCCTCCTCTAAATTCTCTATCGGTATTCATTTTTTAATTTCAAAAAAAAAAAAAAAAAGATAAGGTACGGATAATAACTACTAGTGCATGGTTACTGTAACCGTAATTTCTTAAATTTGTATCGCTCCTTGTTTGTAAACTTAACAAACAGACTCATCGAGTAAACAAACGTAGTAGAAAGTAAAACATAATTAATTTAAAGTTGGTAACTTGTAAAAGTTCTCATCCATAGCGTTCCTGTTATATTTACTTCTTTTTTAAAATTTGTGATGGTTTGGAGTTTATTTGTTAAAAAAGCATAGTTTATTTAGCATTATTTTACTTAAAATGGTCACTAGAAGAGCTACTCATGCCAACAGCTGGTATTCTGATTCAGGTATAAATAAAGCGTTCATTGACCCTATATTCATATATCATCTGATTAATTTTATGTAATAAACTTATTACTTAAATGTTTTCCAGGGGAGAATGAAATTAATTGTTTCATTTAATTTTTATAAAACAGAAATGTTTATTTGAATGAACTTTTTTATAGTTTTTTAAAAAAAAATTGTTAGACAACTTTATTTAAAAAATAATAATGTGCAAAATTCATTTTAATAAGAATGCCCTAATAATTTTAAAAAATTTTTAATTTAAAAAATGTAGTATTTTAAATATATAATATTTATTTAGAAATTTGCTGCATCATGTTGGATATCATTTGTTTTTAATTTTAGCTAAGGAACTAGAACGACAACTTCAAACATGGTTAGGCCAGGCTGAACTTACACATGGTCCTGCTAGAGCTATAATTGCTCCCCATGCTGGATATCAATATTGTGGAAGCTGTGCTGCGTTTGCTTACAGACAGATAAGTCCAGCTGTTGTTAAAAGAATATTTATTCTCGGACCTTCCCATCATGTAAGATTTTCAGGGTGTTATTTAAGCCCTGCTTTAAAATGTGAAACCCCATTTTATGATTTGACAGTCGACCAACAAGGTAATATATTATTATATTATTTATTATATTTATTATTTTTTTCTAAATTACTAAATTAAAATTTTTTTTGTGTTAAGTGCATAAAGAATTAATGGCTACTGGAGAATTTAATGTGATGGGTATATCTATAGATGAAGCAGAACACAGTATAGAAATGCATTTGCCTTATATAGCTAAAGTGATGGCTGAATTCAAAGATTATTTTACTATTGTGCCTATTTTAGTGGGCTCCACCAATGCTAAAGAGGAAGCACTTTATGGAAGTATTTTAGCTCCTTATTTAGCTGATCCTCAAAATTTATTTATAGTATCTTCTGATTTCTGTCATTGGGGTCAACGATTTCGATATACATTTTACGACAAAAGTTGGGGAGAAATACATCAATCAATTCAAACATTAGATAAAATGGTACATTGCGATTAAATTTACCATTTTTTTTCTTTTTTTTTTTTTTGATTTTATTTTTATATACATAATATTTTATGCTTTAGGGTATGGATATCATTGAAAAATTAAATCCCACGGAATTTACTGATTACTTGAAAAAATATGGTAATACAATATGCGGCAGACATCCAATCGGAGTACTTCTTCAGGTAAATTCCGAAAAAATTATTACTTAAATAATTTTTTTTTATTAATTGAAAAAAAAATTGATTTTTCCATCCAATATTTCAATTGATTTACAGGCCATTGCTTATTTAAAAAATTCCAGTAATTTTGGAAACAAAATCAATTTGAAATTTTTAAAATATGTTCAATCGAGTCAGTGTTGCAGAATGAGTGACTCTTCCGTGAGCTACGCATCAGCTGCTGTTACTTTTGAATAGCACAAACAAGCAAGCACTGTTTAAGAGATCTGATTGACACTAAACTTTTACAAAAAAACTAAAAGTTCTTTAAACTATTGTACTTACATTTTATCGATATGCAAAAAATTGTTCATTAAGTGCAAGCACCAATGATTTAAAGTTAGAATTTATTATAATCTAGGCATATTAAGTTAATAATTTTTTATATTTAGATTTAAGATTTTAAAAATTTTATATTTCAGAATTTTTTAAGATAAATAAAGGATTCTTTAGGTAATAATAATAATAATAAATAAAAAACTTATTTGGGAAATAAAAATTTTTTTACTTACCTATTAATTAAAATTAAAATTCATATAAATTAAAAAAGGATGAATATTCTTAACAAAATTTGGGTATATTATTAATTAATTAATATCAATTTGTTTTTAAAAAAATACAATTCGCAAATATATCTTTTAAATAATTTCAAAAGTATACTGGCATTAATAATATAAAAATATATAGATCATTTTTTTCAACTTCAGTAAAGGCTAGTTAAAACTTAAAAAAAAAAAAAATAACAATAATAAAAACTTATATTTATTTAAATTAAATTTTTAAATTGAACTATATGTTAGATATTTTAATTTATATTCTACAATCAATCATTCGATAATCTGATTTTAAAAAATTCATGAATCCCAAAGGTAAACTTTACCAGGAACAGCATTTTTACCACATTCCAGCTTTTTAGTTTGTTCTTCTAATTTAGGTACAGAACATCCTTCATAAATAATACAATTAGGAGTAACTTCTCTTCTAGAATCTCTAGTGTAATAATAATTTGCAGACAATTTGTGATTAGGGCCGTCTGGTAAAATTGGAGGCGGTTGTGTTCTGCTTGATAATTCATCACGAAATCTAAGAGCGTTGACATTCTTTTTTTTTAAAAAAAAATCTCTTATCTTTTGTACCACGAAACTAACATCTCTTTTGGCAGCCATTGTAAGAATATATTAGAAAGTCAAATTAAAAACAGAACAAAAATAATGAAGCAGACAGCTTTACTAAAAGCTTAAGGGGTACCAACTCAAATTTTAAAAAAAATGTCCTTATTATATTATTTATCGTCCTTTTAAAAAAAAAAGAAATTAATTTATAAATCAATAGTACAAAAAAAATAAAATTGTTTTACTAATTTTACTTTACTAATTTCATAATTTTACGAATTTAAAAACAAGTTACACCATTTGTAATTTTAACAAAAAGTTGGTCACACTGTTTGCTAAACTTCCGATCAGTTTGCCATATTTTATGTAGTGCTGTGATGTAAACGGTGTACTTACAGTGTTCAGTGCTTGAAAATTTTACTGTTTTTTAAAAATAATTTAAATTACATGGCTTCAAAATATTAAAAATGTAAGTAAATTTTATCATATATTAAATTTATATATAAAAAAAATGTTAGGCTTTCTTTACGAATCAGGTATAGATAAAACACCTGCCCTTTTCTTGTTAATGAGTCATTCAAAATGGACGATTTGTAAGGCCGTATCAGCAACCGGTCTTGTTACCTTTAATTTTTAAAAATTTCGGTTTTAAAATCATCTTTATTAATATAAAACATATACATAAATATTTAAACACATTTTAAGTTTCTAATTAAGTAACTTGATAACAAAATTAAATGTGTTTTATTGCAAATTTACTTTTATTCTGGTTTTTACCATTATGATTTGTCTCAGTTTAAAATATTTGAAAACATTTTCACTGTTAATAATTTTTTCAAATACACAAATTTCATTATTTAAAAAAAAATATTTTATCGTATGACATTATTAAACGTAAAATTTAATTAAAATACTATTGACTCTCATTATTGAAGAAATTAGTAGAAGTATATTTAACAAATGAAAAATTTTTAAACTGTGTCAATTTTATATCTAAATGAGTATTTTAATACCTTTTTTAAATATTGCATTTAAGAAAAAATTATAAAGATGTACAATGGGTAAAATATTTTTAGGTACAGTTTATAAAAAATACCTGAATTAATTGTTTTTATGGGTGATTTTCAAGGTTCAGGAAATATTTCTTACTTCCTGTGAGAATTTTTTTTTTTTGGGAAATTATGATTTTAGGCAAACCTTTAAAATATTTTGTCAGTTTTTTCAGATTTTTCTTTACATAAATCCCATCTTAGAGTAAAATTTTTTAATTACATCATACTTTCCTTTAACCTCTAATTTCGTATCACGACAGAAATTTATAAATTGATATTATTATTATTATTATCATTATTATTCACTTTTTTTCGGGAACGA